ACGAGAGTCTTCTCCAGCACCATAGTTTGAAAGCATCAGTTCTTTGGTGCTCAGCCTTCTTTGTGGTCCAACTCTCACATCCATACATGACTAATGGAAAAACCAAAACTTTGACAATATGGACTTTTGTCAGCAAGGTGATATCTCTGCTTTTTAATACACTGTCTAGGTTTGTCATAGCTTTCCTTCCAAGAAACAAGTGTCTTTTAATTTCATGGCTGCAGTCACCATCCACAGTGATTTTGGAGCCTAAGAAAATAAAATCTGTCACTGCTTCCACTTTTCCCCCTTCTATTGGCCATGAAGTGATGAGATCAGATGCCATGATCTTAGTTTTTTGAGCCAACTTTCTTACTCTCCTCTTTCACCTTCATCAAGAGGCACTTTAGTTCCTCTTCACTTTCTGCCATAAGGGTGGTGTCATCTGCGTATCAGAGGTTTTTGATATTTCTTCCAGCAGTCGTGAATCCAGCTTGTGCTTCATCCAGCCGGGCATTTCACATGATGTACTCTGCATAGAAGTTAAATAAGCAGGGTGACAATATACAGCCTTGACGTACTCCTTTCCCAATTTGGAACCAGTCTGTTGTTCCATGTCCGGTTCTAACTGTTGCTTCTTAACCTGCATACAGATTTCTCAGGAGGCAGGTAAGGTGGTTTGGTGTTCCCATACTCTAAGAACTTTCCACAGTTTGTTGTGATCCACACACTCAAAGGCTTTGGTGTAATCAATAAAGCAGAAATAGATGTTTTTCTGGAACTCCCTTGCTTTCTCCATGATCCACAGAATACAGACATTTTAATCTCTCAAGAAAGTAGAGAAAACCACCAGGCCATTCAGATATGACCTAAATCAAACCCCTTATGATTATAAAGAGGAGGTGATAAATAGCTTCAAAGGGTTAGATCTGATAGTGTGCCTGAAGAACTATGGATGGTGGTTCGTAACATTGTATAGAAGGCAGTGACCCAAGTAATTCCAAAGAAAAAGAAATGCTTGAAGGCAAAGTGGTTGTCTGAGGAAGCTTTACAAATAGCTGAGAAAAGAAGAGAAGTGAAAGACAAAGGAGAAAACTGTCACTGACTTTCTCTGTTGAAGGCAATTTCAAGAAAGTTGAAGAGTTGATGGAAAGCAGTGAGAGGACGTGAGTGTGGACAACTTCTCCCTGGGTGTCAGTTCCCTCTCCACATCTGCGATGTGTGGGGTATTCAGAAGTTACACACCGGCTACCCCTGGACTGCATTCTGATGCACATGCATGTGTCTGTGTGTGTGTCTTTTTTTTTTTTTGCCAGTATGGTGTTCAAAATGCATTTAGCCTTCTCTGATTACTGTTACATAGGACCCTTTCCAGATCCTTTGGGTCAGACTAAAAAAATCTTTCATACATGAATTTTTAAATTTATTTTTTAATTGCTCCATAATGTTGTATTAGTTTCTGCTTACAGTAGCATGAATCAGCTACAAGTATGCATACGTGGTTTTTACCTTGTGAGTTTGATATGTGATCTAATGCTGTCTACACACAATCTACATGAATTCTGATCAGGTGTGATAACTGTGATAAAGAATTCTCCTGTATTTCATATTATTAATGTGTCTCCTTAAGCTCTGTTGCTGAACATATTGGGTTTGTCAAAAAGTTCGTACGGGCTTTTCACTTCCAGCTTATGGAAAAAGCCAAACAAACTTTTTGGCCAACCCAATATTTTGAGATGTAGCTGACAGGAATACTGTGAACGTAATCTGTATCTTCCAAGGATTGTGGTTATTGAAATAGTTGTCTGCTTCAGTGTTTCCCACTGGCAGTTTGGGGTATGTTGCACCTTTGACTACAGGAATAATTTGGGGTTGGGGGGAGTGGTGATTGCTTGGACACATGACCCTGATGATAACCAACATCACTGTTGAGAATGCTGCCATAAATTCAGCCATGTACAGACTTGGATGTTTATTGTGCTCCCTGGCATCTGGTGGTCCTCTTTCATCCATTTGTTGGTATGGTTTCTGCTTTCTCCAAAACCTAATCCTTCCAGAGAGGATTCTTGATGTGCCTAGAGATTTCATAGTGAGTCCTCAGCAGAAAACACATAGGGTGGATATGCCTCAGCTTTTGAAATTCCACTCTCTTGGTTTCTGCCTTTTAGAAAAACTGTCTGAGTCTATAAAAGGCTTTTTGGTGAATGATTTTTACATGATTATGACTTTTCTAATTGAATGTGATAAATGCTTTATTCTTCCAAAATCATACAATGCAAATAAATTCGAGAGTCCCTGTAGGAAGTCAAGAAGCAAGGTCTAAGGAATCACAGTGTAGAATTTTCTTTGGTCAGAGATGTGGTCTCATCCTCTCCTACAACCTGTGGGAAGCCAAGGCCCAGAGGGAAAAGGTGGCAGGAATTTCGTCCACACAGCTCGTCAGTCTCAGAGCTAGACAAGGTCTTAGCCACCCCAAGGCCCTTCTGAGCAAAGATGTCCTTCCACCCTGTGCCAGCAACTTCAGCCTAAAATGCAGAGACTTCTGCTCAGCATGTCTGTCTGCTTCACCTTGGCTTTATTTATCTTTATGTTTTCTCCTCTTCCATGAAAAGCACTTTTAAAAACACGTGCATTCATTCCACATGCTATGCTCAGAAGTGCCAGGTGATAAAGGGTAGATTGGCAGCTTTGTAATTTGCCTTGATTAGATTGTAGAGATATGTCCCAGCCGTGTGGCTTCCTAAATATTTACAGGTGAGCCAGTCTGCAACACTGTGAAGTTGTTTTATGGGTCCGGGTCCTTTCACATTCTTTATTGTATTAGGTCACCTCGTCCCCAGTAAGGCAAGGACCACCTGCTGCATCTGTGCCCACCAGCTGCATCAGCGGCAGTAAAGGCCACGCTTAGTGGTGCCCGGAGACCGTCTAGTCGAAGCCTGTAGATAAAGCCTCTGGTCTATAGCCGAAGCCTGTAGTGAAAGAGAAGATGATCTCAATTTTTCATGCAGATGTTGTGGGTTCTGACAAGAATCCCTCATAGTTCTGTGTCCCAGAGAGCACTGTGCAGAGTCTGACCCCTTTCTTACATATCTGAGATGTAAGAAACCTCAGATCTCAAGTGTGTCCACAGACAAGGTGCTTTACAGCGCTGGTCCTCATCTGAAATGGTTTCATGAGACAAGCTTTGAAGCAGGATATTCTGCAGGTCCCCAAGTTCTAGGAGCCTCTTGTTACATGCTTTGGCATTTCCAGTCTTCATCCTTTTCTTAGGTGTGCCAAGTACTAGGTCATGTAGGGTGGCACCTCTCCTTTCTATGAGAGGTGGTGCTATAGTTTTTTAAAGAATTTTTTAAAAATTTGTTTATTTTTGGTTGTGCTGAGTCTTTGTTGCTATGTGTGGGCTTTTGCTAGTTGCAGTGAGCAGAGGCTGCTCTTCATTGCATCCTTCTCATTGTGGTGGCTTCTCTTGTTGCAGAGCACAGACTCTGAGGTGTGTGGGCTTCAGTAGTTGTGGCTCCAGACTGTTTCTCTGAGGCATGTGGAATCTTCCCCGACCAGGGATCAAACCTATATCCCCTGCATTGACAGGCAGATTCTTATCCACTGTGCCACCAGGAAAGTCCTATCATTTTTTAAGAATTAGTTTATATTTACAGTTTATCACCAAATCCCTTCATCTTTACAAGTAAATTTTAGGATGAGCAGGCACTTCTCAAAAGAGGATGTCAAAACAGTCATTGAGAAAAGTGCTTAACATCACTGCTAACTAGGGGTAGAAGAATTAAACCTCAGTGAGGAACTTGCCTGCTGGTCCAGTAGTTAAGACTTTAAGACTGTGTACAGCAGGAGATATGAATTCAGTCTGTTGTTAGGGAACTAAGAGCCCACATGTCGAGCAGTGCCACCCACCTCCAGCTCCTGCAAAAAAAAAAAAAAACCATCTCAGTGAGATGCAGCTGAACACTCATCAGAGTTGGCTAAAATAGAAAATCTAGCAATAGCAAGTTTGGGCTAGGATGTAGAATAACTGAACTCTCATATAGCGCTGGTGGAGTGTAAAATGGCAAAAACATTCTGAAGTTTTGTAGTGTCCGCCAAAGCTAAATATACACTTACTCTGTGGCCCAAGAATTCAACTCCTAGGTTTAAATCCACTAGAATCAATTCCATATGTCTACCTAAATGCCGCTATGAAAATTTTTCTGGTAGTTTTATTCATAATAATCCACACAGGAAGCAGTCCCCAAATGTCCAGCAAGAATGGATAAGCAGATGTTGCTGTGTTCCTATAATGGAATATTATGCAGCAAGGAAAAGGAATGGACTGCTATGTGTAACAGCATGGGTAAATCTCACAGCGTTATGGTCAGAGGAAGAAACTAAACAAAAGAACACATACTGTGTGGTTCAATAAACATGGAGTTTAAGAGCAGGTAAAACTAGGCTAAGGTGATAAAAACTAGAATAGGGATTACTTCTGGTGTGAGAGTCTATCAACTGGGAAGGAGCACAGATGATGGAAATTTTCCATCTGCATCTGGATGCCAGGTACATGGGTGTACACATTTGTACAGATTCAGTGAGTCTTCCTGGGAGACTTGTTCACTTTGTTGTATGTAAATTATGCCCTGATAGAAATGACTAGAAAGAAGAGTGAATTGGAATGATTTATCTGTGAATTGGATCCTGTACAATTGGCATGTGAGGTCTAAGGACAGATGGGACAGTGCAGGTGACAGAAGCAGAAGGAAATAGATTTTAGTGTGGCATTTGTTGTAACATCCCTCTGGGAGCAGCCCAGAGCCGGTGGCATGGGGTACTTCTTTGAGAAGCACATCAATTCAAATTTTATAAAAAGCAATTTGGAGCTTACCTGTGCCAGCACTGTCTGAGGATTCTCTCCTCTCTAGAAGGATCTAGAGATTTACTCCCAAATAAAAGTATGGTTTTTGGATGAAACCTAATAGAAAGTCTGGTGGACTTTTTTTCTTTCTTTCTTTTTTCTTTTTTTAAATCCCCAGGGGTGGCTGCTCGAGAGACGGCCCAAGCTCTGAAAACACTGGCCCAGGCTGCCCGGGGTGTGGCTGCATCCACAAGTGACCCGGCAGCTGCGCATGCCATGTTGGACTCCGCCCGGGACGTGATGGAGGGCTCGGCCATGCTCATCCAAGAGGCCAAGCAGGCCCTGATTGCACCTGGAGATGCCGAGAGTCAGCAGAGACTAGCTCAGGTGAGGCCCAGAACTGGCAGCTAAGGTCACCATCAAGGTGACATGTTGACAGGCTGTCTCCCAATAATGAGCACTTTCAAAAGCTTTGCCTGGTAGCCCCCATAACATGAGATCTTCTTAATTCAGTCAACAGAAAGTACAGGGGTTTTGCTGAGACCTGTCCTTGAGACTTGAAGGGCCTGGATACAGCAAGCTTGTCTTGGACTCTAGGGTACTTACATGTATCCCTCTTCCTGGCCTGGGAGGTGAGGTGGATGCACTTGGTTTAGACACTCAACACTTTGAACTCTCTCTAGTGCCTCTTCAGATGAGTCTTCCCAGAGAGCGCAGACGGAGAGCCGCACAACCTCCTTTAAAGGCAGCGTGTGGGCAAACTCCAAGTTGGTCTGGAAGAGCTCAGAGCGCCCCTCCAGCCCTTGAGCTGGGAGAGGTGTGGAGGTGATGGCCCCAGAGGGTCACTGAACAGAAATTCATCCCAGGCCTGACCACCAGTGATCCAAAGAGCTCGGGGCCTCCTTCCGCCTCAGGCCCTCTGCAGAACTCCCTAGTAGGGAACTGTTTCTCTTCCTCTTGGTATTGGGTGTCTTTGTTTTGGAAGCTGGCGGAATACTGGAGGGTTGTATCTGAGTCACAGTCAGGCCTTGGCCTGGCCTCCGGAGCGGGGAGAGTATGCTGTGCCACAGTGTCAGACCCGGTGCCAGGACGCGGGATGCTCAGCCCAGTGAGAGGCCCAGAGGCCCCGGTGTCACGGCGAAGTGTCAGGGGGATGCTGGCGGGCCATTTCCCTGTCCCTTTTAGCTCTCGGTAGTGCCACTGCTCACTCTCAACGCGTGTGCAGGTCTCTCTGCCCTGGAAGCTGCTTTCTGACAGGGCTCTTCTCCCTCTGTGTATTCAGGTGGCCAAAGCCGTTTCTCACTCCTTGAATAACTGCGTGAACTGTCTCCCTGGGCAGAAGGATGTGGATGTGGCCTTGAAGAGCATCGGGGAGTCGAGCAAGAAGCTTCTGGTGGACTCGGTGAGAAGTTTTGGCTTGGGAAGGGGTACCTGGGGGCCTGGGCTCACCGCGGGTGCAGGTGGGGTCTTCTCCTCTCCAGGGACCCTTTGAGTAGCTAGCCTCCCCTTAGGGGTCCTGGTTTTCCTGCCTATTTGCCTTTTCCTTGTTTTGCTTTCTGATCAGCCAAATTCCCAGGTAGAGCTTCTAAAATTTACTTTTTCCTTGAGCCCACGTTACCGTTTGATCTCGGGTTATCCCTGTGAGACAGGAATGGGGCAGGCTCTTGAGGGGGAGGGTTTGGATCATCTGACCTCTCATCAGGACATTTCAGACCATGACAATCAGGTGATAAAGGGATGCAAGTGTCCAGAACTCACTGAAAGAGTGAGTGGTCTGTGGAATTTCATTCTGGAGCTTGTTCCCTTCCTTGTTTTTTAAGCCCCCTTTGGGGGGACTTGGTCTTGTTCAATCTCTATTTCTTCTCTGCCGCGTGCCTGGCACATAACCAGTTATGCAGACAATGGGTGTGGTGTGACACATATAATCTAGCTTAACTCTCTTGAACTCTTTACCGACAATTACAGTTCTGCTAGTGGCACTTCTGTGGGAAAGCTATATTGTTAGCCGAGACCAACTGATGAGTTAAATTGGTGGCTATTAGTTTGGAAAAATAGGATTTAAAGATTAATAGCATCTGCCTCTTAGTTCCAGAAAGCTGAAACTTTGTGAGTTTCCATCTGCGAATGCCAAGATAGAGCATGGGTTCAGGGAGCGGATCCCAGAGTCAGGCTGTCTAGGTGCGAATCTTGGCTGTGCGGCTTAGGAGATCAGAAGCGCTGCAGAAAGCCATCCTTAACATTTTTAGATCCACTCTGTCTAGCACTGAATAAGTGTTCAACAAATTTAAGTGAATGAGGGAACGGGTATATTTTTTTGAAGGTCAGACTTAACGTGGGCTCAGATGACACAGAGCCTTTTCACCTGATCGATTCAGAAATGCATCCGGAGAGTCTCTCTTCCCCTGCAGCACCCACCACTCCTCCGACATTCAGTAAAACTCCTCCTGCAACGTGCCCTCTCTTCCCATAGTTACCTCCGAGCACAAAGCCTTTCCAGGAAGCCCAGAGTGAACTGAACCAAGCAGCCGCCGATCTGAACCAGTCTGCCGGGGAGGTGGTCCATGCCACCCGGGGCCAGAGCGGAGAGCTGGCTGCAGCCTCCGGGAAGTTCAGTGATGACTTCGATGAGTTCCTTGATGCTGGCATTGAGATGGCGGGCCAGGCGCAGGTGAGGGGGAGAGGGCTTGCTGAGTGGAGCTGACCCTTGCCTCTCGCCTCTGGTGGACTGTTGGCCCCCGAGGCTAAGCAGCACATAGGAGCTGGGAAGCCATGAACAGCCCACGGCTTTACATCATCTTTGCTGCTCAGAGAGCTTCGTGAGTTCACAGGAATGGCATTCCCAAAGATGCTATTAGCTTGTGTGAGATGGAGATGAACGATAACTTCTCCAACAGAACTCACCATCTTATACTTTTTGAAAGGAGGGCAGAGGAGAGAAGAAGGAGATCCCTGCATCCTATCATTCAAATGTAGTATGGTACTATAAAAACTCATGTTATTTGAGGTTCGATGAGTCCACATGAAAAGGTTTTGTCTAACCCTGAGTATCAAGTGATTCAAAATTACCTCCTTCAGATGAACAGATAAACCTGTACTTTAGAACAAGGGAGCATGACTGGTCTGGGGTGAGCTCACTGAGCTATTTATTTGCAAGCTCCTTTCAACTCCCTCAAAGTGGTACCCAGCATGCTTGTTACTCTGTTATATACAAAGGGCTGTTTCTCAAATGGGAAGCCAGGTGAGCAATGTATTATTTCCACAGACAGAAGCTTTTGGGATGCAGTCAGCTCTCAATGTCCAGACAGTGATGCTTGTATGTGCCAGGCTGGGATGCACCAGCCCCTGGACAATTCCAGCACTGTTGAGCAAAATGCTGGAATTGCGGCCTGGACTGTTTGCTCTCTTACTCACTCCCCACCCCACACCCCCATTAATACCCACACTTGTGATACAGCATAGTTCTTGGCTGACCCACTTGGGAATGGATTTCTGTGCCTCTGTGTGCATCTTGGTCTGGGAATCTGCTAGGGGAACAGTAGACACCAGGCAGTCTCGACACGCTAGGCGTCTGCAGACTAATTGGGCTTCATGCCATCTGTACAGATAACCGCCTTCCATTTCAGGGTACTGCTCCTAGCTCTGAATGCTGCTTAGGAGAAATGGACAGCCCCTAATTACTTTGGCTCCTTTTCACCTTCCAGACGAAAGAAGACCAGATCCAAGTCATAGGGAACCTCAAGAATATCTCCATGGCCTCCAGCAAGCTACTGTTAGCTGCCAAATCTCTCTCCGTAGACCCAGGAGCCCCCAACGCAAAAAATCTCCTGGCTGCAGCTGCAAGGTAAGTGTGGAACAAAATGGGCTTTCATGTGTAGTTAAATAACATCAGTGTTTGTGAGGTCCGCCTGACATCCTGCTGCTTTTGCTGAGCGAAGAAGTGGTGCTAACCTTCTGTTCTCAGAGTTGGAAGGGAGAGTGACATAGATGCTGGTGTCTTATTAAATGGGCTCATTTGCATGTGCATTCTCCACTAAAGATGCCTTCTGTCTCCTCTTAAAGCCTTTTCAGGAGGACTTGTTTAGACTGAAGGCCTCCATTGATTTATAAATATGGTGGCTTAAAGAGATTTTTAAGTAGTGTTAATATCATTCAGATTATGAAAGTACCATATGTTCATTAAAAAGAAATCAGAAGATGCGGAAAAGTTAAAAAAAAAAAAAGATACTCAACTAGCCATTCAGCATTTCTTGAGTGTTTACTGCTATGAGCCTGGTACCCATGTTAATTAGCTGGATTTAAACATGGTCACTTCGTCACATGCAGAAGGGCTCAAAGTCAGGATGGATGGGGTGGTGGTGAGAGTAAATTGGGGGAATATGTTAAAGCATGAATCTGAACTTGGGATGATGTGAATGTCCTTCTTTGCTGCTGTTTTCACCCGAGGAAGTAGGTCATCCGATATAGCCCCCCTCCAGGCCCACTCTGGCATTTAGTTCAATGACTAGTGATGAATGCTGGTATCTGGAGAAACTGCAGTGATAGCTAAGGAAGATTTTATATTCGCAATCCCACATTCGTATTCCTGAACCAAGGGGGTAGGGTGTTCTGTGATTCTGCAGCGGTGTAGGCCTGTTTTCTTAGCCTCACTTAGTATCACTTTATCGGAAACCTAACAGCAGTGAAAGATTAAATGCAGGACAGTTAGGATCTGTAGCCTAATTGAAAACATTTTCCAAATATGCAGATGAGTGATTTTTAAAAAGCATGGCTTGAATTCTACTTAAAATTTTTAAAACTTGGTTTTGTTTGCTTATTTGTTTTTCAGTGTCTTAATCTCTCCTGGCTTTTTTTAAGTTGTCAGAATCAGAGTCCTAAATTCTAGTACAGACTTCAATGCTTGACTAGGTAGGTTACATGGGTCAGACCACTCAACCCGTCTCAACTTTCCCATTCGCAAAATAGTAATGTGTATAGGCCACATCATCCTTGAGCTCTGTTCCATTCCCGATGGACAAGGTATCTTGGTACTACTGGTTAATACCTGTCTCTGGTCTCCTCTTTGTTCGTAGTATTATCTTTTATGGGGAGATTTAGATAATTTCAGAGCAACTCCCTTGAAAACTTTTGAGTTTCTTCATTCCTTCTCATTAACATACTTTGAGTGCTAAGGTGCTTCAGTCATGTCCGACACTTTGCAACCCTATGGACTGTAGCCCTCCAAGCTCCTCCGTCCGTGGCATTCTCCAGGCAAGAATACTGGAGTGGTTTGCCATGCCCTTCTCCAGGGGATCTGCAGGTGGGTTCTTTACCACTAGTGCCCCCTGGGAGGCCCAAACATACTTTACCTTCGAACAACATCGAGAGCCACTAGGTGACGGGATACATACTCACATCTCCCCACCTCCATCTCGTGCGTTCCTTGTGATTGTTCCAGCAGGTGCATGCCCTCCTGAGCTCTGGGTAGGGATGAGGAGGAACGGTGATATCTTCTCTGTTGAGCAGCTATTTCTGATAGAAAACCTTCTTAATCACTTTTTTCCAAGAACAGCCTTTGGATAAGGCAGCTAATGTTTCCAGGTACCTGAACTCACTTGTTTTTCATTATCTTCAATTTTTTGCCCCTTTTCAAAATGCCCCTTTTCAGTTTCCAACTCAGAGGTGTGTTGTCATCTCTCTTAAATTGTGGGAAGGAAAGGAGAGTATAAATGGGCATTTTGAAAGTCCCTTGGAGAAGGGACTCCAGGACCTGAAACCTGGTGTCCTTGCTCTGTGAGTATCTGCACGCCCCCTGGTGGTTACATTGAGGAAGGGCCCTGGAGGAGAGTTGAGAAAGCTTCGTTGCCCTGTCTGTCCTGGCTTTCAGCAATTGATAAGGAGAATTCCCAGCCTGGTGGTTCCTCAGCCAAATCAGCACTCAAAAATCATCACGTGAATTGATAATCTTGGGTTGGAACTGCTGCAGGAGGTTTCTGGCCCATTCTCCTTGGCTTCTTGGCAAGCTCGGCTCCCTGGGGTATTTTCCCAGTGGGAGCTTGCCAGAGTGGGTCAGTCCCGCTCCTCTTCTGGGGTAAAGCTCTGCCCACCTGGGATGCAGTCATTCATTCTCTTGTTACTTCATTTGTTCATTAAACCGATTTTTGTTGCATGCCTGATATGGGCCCAGTGGTGGGCACACAGTGTAAGAAAGGACAGCCCCGGTCCAGTCGACAGGCACACCCAGGGCATACTGCCCCCATTCTCTCTGGGCCTCACAAAAGCCCTGGGCATAAGCACCTTTGGAGCTGGGTAGCAGGAATCTGATGGTTGTTGTCCTCATCTGCAGTCCCACTGGCCTCCCTATTCTCGAGACAGCCATGCCTCCCTATCCGTGTGGATGTCCACAAAGACTCCAGACTTGTCACTGGGGGGACCCACACCTGGACCAACTCGGCTCCACCCTGCTCCTGTGTCAGCAGACTTGAACCCTTTCTTTGTTCCTTCTAGTCACCATGATTCTTCCTGCTTTAGGGGGAAAAAAAAGTTTACTTCTGGGAGAGCAGTAGAGTATGTGTGCTTTTTGCTCTGCTCATCATTCTGCATTTGAGCCCTGGTACAAACTGGCCCCTTGGTTTTTGATGCCTCGTGGGGACGAAGTCATTTCCTGTGGAGTGTCTGGCTTGTTCTTCCTGTGAAACTGCTTGGCTCCAGCTCTTTTCTGGCCAGTTGAGTGGGCTGGAGACTCTCTGTAAATTGTTTATCAGCTCTTTCTGTGACTTGGGGCTGGTTTGATGCTCCCTGAACTTAGTCAAGGAAGTGAAAAGCCAGTTTGCAGTGGCAAAAAAAAGGGGGAGGGGGAGTGTTCTACCTCCAAGCACCCCCAAGCTGCTTCTCAGACTACAGTCACCCTGCTCAAAAGGATTCCTAGGAGCTGAAGACTTGATGCCCACTGCCGCCAGCATCAGAACCATCCTAAGCCAGACGTTCAGCTGCTTTCTGGTTTCCCCAGGGCTCCCTAGGACCTTGCAGGAGGTGCCTCTTCCCACGCTGCCCTTTGCCTTGAGGTTTCTGCCAGGCAGGCATCTTTCTGACTCCAGAGATGGTGAAAAAGGATGACCCAGAAAACAGCTCTTCCATGCTATAAAGGAGAAAAATGTACCCTGGGCCTTCTTCTGTCTCTTAGTCTCCTCTACAATGTTCTGTTCCCATTATCCAAATTGGGATCTTGCTGAGCCCTGACTTTACAATTGCTCTGGTCCCTGTCTGGCTCTCCCTAATAGGCAGAGCCCACACCTGTGGTCAAGGCTTTAATTTTCTTTCACTCCCAGCGAGTCCTGCATGTGTCCGGCCAGTCCTGTCTGATGTCACACTCCCATCACTGCTTCCTTTGGTGCACCTCATGTCTTGTCTGTTCATTACTTTGCCTCTCCAACTGGATTGCCAGCATCTTGCTTTCCTAGAGAGCTTTAAACCATATTATTTTTTATTCCCCTTGCCTTGTGATGGTAGAACCCGGGGAATACCAACAGGTTAAATTTTGGTTTGCTCTTTGTTGCCTTCCTAAGCACATCCTCCTTTGAGGATGGGAGTTGTCTGAAGTTGCTTTATTCCCTCCAAGCTCGCTATTGGATGCTTAATAGATCATCATGAACATAAATTGATTGATTTTCTTCTCTCACCTCTGCCCCAATTCCATGTCTATATAGTTTCCTTCCAGAGCTCACAAACTCCTGTCTGAATCTATTTAGTATCTCTGAACACTAATTGGCTGTAGGTTAGAAAGCCTTTAACATCTAAAGTTGTAGATTCCAATTGTTTAAAGACAGAGAATAGCTACATATGCTTAGATAAAGAATGAGTTATAAGAAAACACTATCTCTAGATGATGAAATTATGATCATTTAATTTTTTGTATTTTTTTAAATGAATTTGTGTAGCTTTGATCTTTACCAAAAAAACTATGGGGAAAATAAAAATAACTACAATTCAAGCCTAATGGGATTTACATATAGCACAGGCAGCATGCAACTAATTTTGGCCATATTTTTATGATGATGTGAATTGGTTGGTTCATATTGTTTTAGTTGATTTACTAAAATCTTTGCTTTAAAATAATATTGTTTGAGGATTCCCTGGTGATCTAGTGCTTAGGACTTGTCACTCTCACTACTGTGGCCCAGGTTCAATCCCTGGTCAGGGAACTAGATCTGCAAACTGATCAGTGGCAAGAAATAGTAATAGTAAATTTTAAAAATAATATGGTAAAATCACTTAACATTTTGGTATCAGTTCATATGGTTTACATGTTTTATATATTCTTTTCTAATATTAATTTTACTTAGTTGTATATCATGAATATTCTATCATATAGGGAATATGATATCATGACTTAACAGATCTCCAGAATTATGTTGTAGACTGTATGTTTAGTCATTCCTTTATCATTGCATGTTTGGGTTTTCTCTAATCCTTTGATCTTATGATATGTTTTATAGCTTGAACCATAAAAATACTATTTCCGATTGTCAGATCTGCCTAACCAATTCCCTCTGTAACACTCAGTTTTTTATTTAGCTATGCAATTCACACTCTAAAATGAGTTATAAGGATACACGATACCTACATAATGCTTTTCAGTGATGGATCAGTATTACCACGTGACTCATTCAGACTAGCAGTGCCATGCTGGCACTGTTATGGATTATCCAACCACACACCCTTAGTCCTTTGGGTTGTTTTTTTTTACCCCAAGTTTTTATTTGGAATTTTTTACTTCTAAAAAATATTTGAAATAAGCCAATAAATAGCTACATGGCCTCTGAATTCACCAATTGTAAACACTTAGTTGTTTATTATTATCATTATTGGAGTATAATTGCTGTATACTGCTGTGTCAGTTTCTGCCATACAATAATGTGTATCAGCCATGTGTACACACAGACCCCTCTTTTCTGGATTTCCTGCCCATTTTGGTCACCACGGAGCACTGAGAAGAGTTCCCTGTGCTATGCGGCAGGTTCTTGTTAGTTATCTGTTTTATACATAGTAGTGTGCTTTTGTTCTGGGGGGCTTTTTTGTACCACAAGGCTAGTGGGATCTTAGTTCCCTGACCAACTGTCGAACCTGGGCCCACAGCAGTGAAAGCACTGAATCCTAACCACTGAACCACCAGGGAATTCCCATGAGCACTTAGTTTCTAATGGAAATGTCTCTATATAAAGACTGTGCTTTTTTAATGCAGATAAATGGGAAACATTGAAAGAAGCTAAATGGAAAGCTTGTGTGATATGTGGAAATAGTCCCCAAATGATTGTGTCATCATGGTTGGGCCTTTTTGCACCCTTTGCTATGTTGACACGTCTAGCCTGCCCACTCTCAAATGTGTCTTGAAGGCTGCCACACAGAACACGATGTTGGACTCTTTGGGGACCCTTCCAATGAATACATCATGAACTGCACCCTCCAAAGGTGGTCCCAACTAGAGACTGTCCTGCTTTGTCACTTGTCTTTGTTTTGCTTTGCACCTGGAAGACATAGTGCTTCCCCCATGACACCATAGTATTAAGCACTTTTCCCCAAATAAATGAATCAATCTTTTTTGTTTTTTTTTAAATGAATCAATCTTACAGAAACTATTTGAGGATTCTTTCTTGAGTTGAGGAATGTTTTTCTTCTTCCCATCATTCTTGCTAAGTTTAAAATTCAAAGCAGTAGCTCCTCATCAAATAATTAAGCTGATTGCCTTTGTACATCAGCAACATCATTTTCCATCTAATCTGATATTCTGTGGGAAGCTGCAAAGCCAATTTAACTAATAAAATGAGGGAGGCTTTTTATATTAGACAGTGTTAATGCTTAGCAGCAATATGCGTCCTATTTTTATTTTTTTGTTTATTTTAAGTTGCTCATTAGCTGCAGTGGTTACCAACTGTGAATAGCATTCAGGGTTCTGCCGAAGGTACAGACCAGTTACGACCCTGCAGAAAAATGGTTTTGAATCTGGCACTGGAGTCAGAGAGGCATGGGTTTAAGTCTTATTTTTGCACCTTATTGTAACATCTCCTTAGGGAATTATCTTGTCTCTCTCTCTCTCTCTCTCTCTTTGTCATTTATAAAAACGAGGGTACTATATTCAGTTTTAAGACCTAGTGTAACGATGTAGTAATCCAAACAACGTGGTATTGGTGAAAGGTTAGAACATAGTTCAATGGAATAGAATAGAGTCCAGAAGTACACCTACACAAATATGGTCAACTGATTGTCAACAAAGTTACAAAAGCAATTCAAATCAGGAAGGATGGAATTTTAAAAGGTAATGGAATAATTAGACCTCCATATTATCCCCCCATTAAAATCTGGATCCATATTTCACACCTTATTAAAGGAAATAACTCAGAATGGACCATGCCTTTCTAAAATATATCCATGGCTTCACCTAAACAGTGACTGCCCAGGAAGGGGAGAACCCTTGACAAGAAAAAAATCTGGGCTGTGTCTTAAGTTCTTAGAAGAGTAGAAACACATATAAAATCATCTAAGAATCTCTGGTTCCTATTAATGTTAACAAAGAAAATAGCTCTTTTAAAGAATAATTTTGGTATAGCTTCTAGGAACTGGTCAATCATGTAGAAATGAAAGGAAAGAAGAGGTTTTAAAATCATAAGGCACAGTTCACAGCGTGACTATTTTAAAATATACAGAATAGTCCAAACTACATAAAGGCTGTCCAAAATAGCCTGGCTGGAATCATCCTATTCCTGATGGGCTGCTAGTGAAGGATGCTGACTTTAGTGTTAACAGGAGCTCTTTGCCATTTGCAACTTCGTTGTGACTTCTTTCTTGTGAGTATTATAGCCACACTTTTCTTAAGAGAGCTGTTCGTACTTTTAAGGGTAAATCAGTGAATAAATAATGAGAAGCAAGGTGGGGGTTCTCGCTCTCTCTTCCCTGACTGTGGTTTATTTTTGGTTTAGAGCCTTGTGAAAGAGCTGTCACGGGGACCGCAGCCTTTATGTGACTTAATTGTATTCCTGTCGAACTCATAAAACGTCATTGGGGAACTTTCTGTTAATCTTTACAAAACACAACCAAAAACACTCTTCCCATTTCTATCTCAGAGCTGTGACCGAGAGCATCAACCAGCTCATCACGCTGTGCACGCAGCAAGCTCCTGGCCAGAAGGAATGTGATAACGCCCTGCGGGAACTTGAGGTGCGTCCCTGGAAAGGCTGCTGAGGATTTAAGAGCATGTGTCTGTCTGTCCTTTCCCTCCAGGGTCAGGTTCTTCTCCTTTATTCTTGTCTTTTATCTTTCCTGGGAAACTTTTGGGGCCAAAGTTCTAATTTTGAATTCCATCCATCTAGTGGGGTGGAATTCAAGAAAAATTAGATTTGCTGAGGTTATCACCCCTGCTTCCATATTTCCTCTGAGAGTTGTTTTGTTAAGAGAGTCTTTATTTCAAACAGGAAGAGGCCTCTGGTATTGAATGGAGGCTGAGAATGAGTAATTTCTACCTAAACAGTTTGACAGTGATTTTTCTAGGGCTTTTGGGAGAAGCTAGGATAGAGTGCTTTTTGAGTAAAAATGGTCTTCTTGAACATTTGATTTTGTAGCATGTAGAGGATGCATTAGAGAAAACCCAAGAGTAACACTTATTACTATGAAGGTGGCCATGAGGCCCCTGGTGGCCCAGAACACAGCGTGGGTGCTAATCAATTTATATACATACTTAGGGTTTATTTTTCATGGAAAATTTATTTATGCCCATAGAATATATGTGGGTAAAAATAAAATCAGTGTGCCCACTTGTCCATAAAGCAGTCCTAACCAATTCAGGCTATATTGTTTATCTCAGTAGATGTGGCTTGGTCATACCCTATGTACCTTAGTTTTCTTAAATAGGAATATTTACCATGTGAGAGAAGGTGGTCTAGGGGTAGAGGGGAGAGTTAATTGCACCTTCTGAAGGGTCTGACTGAGACCCAGGTTGCTGATGGCAGTAGGCCATTGGTGCAGCTGAAATTCCTCCCAGGAATGTGTGCAATGAGCGATTGTGATCAGAATCCTGTGTGTGACAGGGAGATTGATAATCGGCATTTTTTTGTTGTTTCCCTTGTTCTAAGGCTTTGCTTGCTTTTTAAGTCATGCTCTCCTTTGTAGACTGTCAAGGGGATGTTGGACAATCCCAATGAGCCCGTTAGTGACCTGTCTTACTTTGACTGCATCGAGAGTGTGATGGAAAACTCCAAGGTGAGCCTGGCTGTGCTGTTAGCATCCCTGCCCACTGTGGGAAAGAACCGTGACATGCTCCATGTGCCCAGGTCTGTGGCCCCCCTGGGGAAGCCCATGTCTTAAAAGGCTTGTGGTGCCTTTGCCCAGGTGTTTCTCAAACCAAGCCATGCATCGCAGTCACCTGGGGGGCTTGTTGAACACAGATTGCTAGGCCACACCCAGACCCCTAAGTTTCTGATTCCATACATCCCAGAATGGGCGAGATTGTGCATTTCTGACCAGTTCCCAGGTCGGGCCCTGTGGTCCAGGAGCCACACTCTGAGAACCACTGCTTATACCCTCTCAGGGTTGAGTCTTATTGTGAATCTAAGCATGTATGTCCATCACCTGGGACTGCATGCTGGGGAAAGCCTATCAATGACCGTATATGAGACTCTCCTGTGTGTTCCTGTTACCATCCATTTATGGCATGCATTCTCAGGGGGCATGAAAATTTGTGGGGGCTTTGGGAGTGCAAGCAGTGAAAATATCTAAGATAATATAATGGCTTCTGTCCTTCCTTCTCCAAATCTTAACCTTGCTCAACAGAATCTGGTTTCTTAGTATTTAATTTAATGTGGGTGGCCATTGGAGGGAGGGTGGTCTAAAAAGACTTCTTAGCAGAGCAGTAATAATAATATTTTAAAAGGTTGAGAAACACTGACCTTTGGTAATAACACCAGTGTTTTTGAGAATGTCTCAGAACCAGGTGAAATGAAATGCAAGTGAGCTGAATGGATATTGAACAGTTGCCGTTTGGCTTTGTACTCAGAGTGTTTCTGCACATTACTTTACGTCACCTTCACGCTAGCTTTGGGGAGATAGCAAGGCTTCCGTGGTGGCTCAGTGGTAAAGAACTTGCCTGCCAATGCAGAAAATGCAGGTTCAATCCCTGGCTTAGGAAGATCCCCTGGAGAAGGAAATGGTAACCCACTCCAGTGTTCTTGCCTGGGAAATCCCATGGACAGAAGAGCCTGGTGGGCTACAGTCCATGGGGTCGCAAAAGAGCCCAACCTGTCATAGTGACTGAACAACACCATGCCTACAGTGAGAATGGCTTGGGCTCTTCTGCTTGGAGAGACAGCTGTATTGGTGGTGTCAGGAGGGCTTACTTCCAGTTAGGCTAAGACTAGAGTTTGCTTTGTCCAGCATCCCACACTTAGATCCAAAGAAACTGTTCTTCCTAAAGAGGGATGCAGGGAGAAGGAAAGGAAAATACCGTGCATAAAAATACCCACTAACTGCTTTGTAAGTCCTTATGTAAACTGGATTATTTTGTATATCTAGGCAACTTTAGGGAATTTCTTTCTTTCCCCATCCAAGATGGCATCTTGGCAAACAAAGAGCTCTGTATTGTGTTCCAGATGTGAATTTGATAGTCTCTCTAAAGCGTCCCTTGCGCATCCTTCAGTTCTACTATCTGTGACCCTGGAAAGTAACACCTGCCTTCCTGGGACGTGAGGAGACTGTAGGAGACACAGCCCCAGACACGGGGCAGACACCCTGCCTCTGCCCCTGTGACCTCCGGTCTCACCTTGTACAGGGTGCTTGACCTCCCTTGGTTGGATTCGGAATACTAAAATCCCTTTTGACTATTATTTTTAAAACTTCTGAAAAGAGAATATACCGGTAATTTTCGAAGTAAGGGGAAATACTTTAAGAATTTAGCCTTAAATTTAGCCTTAGTTTCAGACTATCTTCCTCTTTACATGTACACTCCTTAAAGATAGATTTTACTGTCAATAAATAGAAGGGATGGGTGTGTTTTCTACTTTCTGGGTGTGTCTTCACCTACAGCTCGGCAGATATGTGTGATTTTTGTATTCTGGACACTAACAGTTCTCAATTTAGACCATTTGCCCATAGGATGCCCTGTATAGATTTTACTTTAGTGATTGGTATATATTAACTGTACCTCCTTGAGATATAGATAACTTTAGATGAAAGCTTCATACTTTCATTATTTATTTCTCTTTATGAGATGGAAGCGATATCATTATCCTGAATCTCTTCTCACTGCAAATAAAGAAAAACAATGCAAATATTATAAATAAAATGTCATTGATCATTCAAGTTGGAAGGGTAGCCCCTTTATCTCATGGTGTGAAGAAATGCTGGTCACAGTATCACTGGTGATGTGTTTTGCAGGTTCTGGGAGAGTCGATGGCAGGGATTTCGCAGAATGCCAAGACTGGGGACCTCCCTGCCTTTGGGGAGTGTGTGGGGATTGCGTCCAAGGCTCTCTGTGGGCTGACGGAGGCTGCAGCCCAGGTAAGGGACTGGTCCCCATGCCCCATGATGTAGGCCTTCCAGCCTGTCCTGCGCCTGGCCCATGATGGAGGCGCGGGGGCTTCAGCTCCAGCTCCAACCACCACCATGTAAACCATGGAAACCATAGTGGCTCCTTTGCTTCCTGAGCATTTAGGAAAATATCAGCCAGTTACCCCCAGGACAAGAGCAGACTGGATAGAGCGCTGAGTACTGTAAGCCCAACATAAGGGTTCAGAGGCCAGCTTTTTTTATTTTTTTAAGGTCATAGTTACAGATAAGTTGTTTGGAGGAAAAAAATGGGTATTACATAATTCAAATTCCCTCTGAGGCTTTAGAGTTGCAAAAAATCTTAGTCATGCTCTTTTTTAGAATCAGAGGGGGAGAAAATTAGATGCCATCACTCAGAGACGTGATCAGGCATGTTCGTGGCTCGTCTTTGAAAGTCCTGTACATTTCCAATAATTACTGGGCTCATATCACTGAACTTTCAAAAATGTCAGCATTTACCTTGAAGGGTTTATCATCTGACAGTTACCTCAAGCCTCAAAGATGTTACTGAACCAAAGAAAAACATCCCTAGTTTGGGGGGTGGTGAAATTGCCTCCCACCTATTCTGCCCCTCGCATCTCAGGGGAAATGAGTTGAGGTTAGAATTCCCCCTTACAGATTCATCTCTTCCCTGTTATTTGGCTAACACACCCAAAGCGTTTAAAGAAAAGACCTTCTCTTATAGCCCCTTGTCCTCTTGGAGACTAAATATTACCTTTATTTTGTTTCCCTGAACCGTCTTACTCATTCTTACTTACTGTTTGAAAAAATTGGCCGAAACACTAAGGATACATTAGACTATGAGATGAGAACCCTCATGTAGGGCAGGTTCCAGGGTTGGCTTACCCAGCAATTCCATGCCATCAGTCTACACCCACTTGTTTCTTTTCCCTCTTCCATCTGCCAGCTAAAGAGTAAGCCTCATGCTGAGCCTGGGCCTCCTCAGAGTCATAAAGTGGCTGCCAGAGCACTCAGGGTTACATGCATCCTTGGTCATGTTCCCGTGGAAGAGCTTCTTAAAGCTTTCTTAAGAACAAGGAGACTTTGTTCCCCAAAGCCCATAGCAGACTCCTGCTGGCACTTCCCTGGCCCAAGCGAGCATTAGCTTGTCTACCCCTAAACTCTTACTGATGAGGTGACTCTGACCACCTTGCACTGGGAGTGCCTGAGAATGACTGCTGCAGGTACCCTGTGGGACCGCAATCCCCCACAGGCTTATCTAGGTGCTCAGAGAGCCTGAGCGGTGGCCTTCTTCCTCCCTCTCAGGCTGCGTACCTGGTCGGTATCTCTGATCCAAACAGCCAGGCGGGCCACCAGGGCCTTGTGGATCCCATCCAGTTTGCCAGGGCCAACCAGGCTATCCAGATGGCGTGCCAGAACCTGGTGGATCCTGGCAGCAGCCCGTCACAGGTAACCTTGGGCGGGGGAAGGTGGGGGGGGGGTGGAATGTGAGGTCTCTGCATCCTTGAGCTCTTGGAGGTGGGTGGTAGGAGACTAAGAGAATGAAGATTACTGTTTTTTTAGAGCTGGCAAGGCCAGCCAGATAATGTCTTAGGGGAATATAGCAAAATATGATGACAGTGAATACAAGTAGTTGCTTTGGAATGGAGTGCTGGAAGGCAGTTGCAGTGGTGTAATCACAGCGAGATTCATCAGGAGGCTCACAGTTCCATTCATCAGTTCAGGGGAGATACACGGAGGGCTTGTTCTGTGGTCAGCACTGAGGGTCACCATGAGTGAGACCCAAACCCCTACCCCCTTAACTCTTACTGTGACATAAAATTTGGAAGCTAGAGGGATTGGGGTATGATGACCATGCCAGGATTGTCGATGGCTTCTCTGAGAGGTTGTCGGATCACTTCCTGGAGATAGTGGTACTGAGCCAGGCCCCACAGCTGGGTCAGAACCTTCAGTGCAAAAAGAGCTATAGAGACATTTGAGAACTAGACAGGATGTGTGACTTTCCATGATACTTCTGATACCCAAGTGGCATGGATCAGGTTCAGTAATTCCAGTGTGCTAAGTCACTTCAATCTTGTCCGACTCTGTATGACATGTGCCCTCCCCCAGGGGATCTTCCTGACCCAGGGATCGAACCTGCATCTCTTATGTCTCCTGCATTGGCAGGCAGGTTCTTTACCACTAGTGCGACCTGGTAAGCCCAGTAGTTCCAGTAGTGTGTACTAAAAGGAACTTTTAGTGGCTTATATGGGCCAGCAGAGGCAGCTCATGAGGGGCTCATCCACGCTTGACCCTGGGACCAGTATCCTTGAGGCAAGAGAAGGACCCCAGTAAAGGAGATAATACAGGGGCCACCTGGACCCCACACAGGCATCAGTGTACCTGAGATGCCTCACCTTTCCATTTAAGGCCAAAGAGTGTTACTAGCCTCAGCAAAGTGGGTCAGGCAGATTCAGAAAAGCAGTTGAGGTGGAGCCTGAGAAATTCCTGAGCCAGACCCCTTCATAAGGTGCCTACAGCCCACCTGAGGGTGGGGGTGACATACAGCTGAATGTGACTGTTAAGCATTTGAAATGTAACTGGTCCAAACCATGATGGGCTGTAAGTATAAAATACAGACCGATTTCAAAGCCTTAGTATGATAAAGGATTATAAAAGCTTAATCTTCTTAAATTGATTACCTGGTGAAATGAAATATTTTGGATATCTGAGGTTTAATTAAATATGTTATTGAAAATAACTTCCCTTGTTTCTGTACTTATTTTAATGTGGCTACTGGAAATTTTAAAATTAGGCATGTGGTTTGCACTGTATTTCTGTTGGGTAACCCCGGCCCAGGCCCTGGGCTATATCCCTCCTGGCTAGAGGTTGCAAAGCGTACTGACAGCCTCTCCTCTAAGACCAGCTGGAGCCCAGCCCACTCCCACCACCAGAGCAGCGTCAGCTTTCTTTTTCTTTGTTTCTTCTTTCTACCTTAATAACTCTCACCCTTCCCTTTCTTGTGAGACTCTGGGGTAGCAGAGGTAGAGACTTGGGTTTTAGTTACAGCAGCCCTAAGACGTGTGAGTTGGGGGAATCCAGGGCTGGGGACCCGGGTGCACTCCTTTTGAACTGACCCCCTCTGCACTGAAGCGTGGGGTGCCCCCAACCCAGTCCCTGCTTTGTAGGTTCTGTCCGCTGCCACGATTGTCGCCAAGCACACTTCAGCCCTGTGCAACGCCTGCCGCATCGCCTCATCCAAGACGGGCAACCCCGTGGCCAAGAGGCACTTTGTCCAGTCTGCCAAGGAGGTCGCCAACAGCACCGCCAACCTGGTGAAGACCATAAAGGTGGGTCACTGAGCTAAGACCCGAGGAACCTTTGTAACACCTGCTGCAGGTGAGAGAGAGGCATGGCAATGAAGCTCGGCTCCTAGACTTCCTTCTAGTGAGGGGCGACTTCTCATTTGTTCTCGTGACTTCAGTCACTGAGGAGGAGTTCATTGGTGATGGACATAGTTATTAGGAAACACCAACAGCCTTGGTCTCTACGAACCTTCTGCATAGTATGTAGGGAGGGGTAAGCTATGTGTTTGGTGGGGGACAGTTTTGAGGGGCCCTACCATGGTTGTTAAACATCTCTGGACTAAGAGATAAGGTGGAAGAAGAAGGGAATGGGAAATTGCTGGGAAAATCTCTTTCATCTTTTTTAAAAGAAAATCTGTACCAGCCTATGATATCTCTTCCATTTATAGTTATTTAAATGTTTTCAATGGAGCATCAGCTTCTTAGACTACCCCGTATCGATAACAAGTTCGTCTTTGTGATGGTGGTCATAAACAGGTGCAGGGGTGGGAGTGGCAGGGCAGGGTACCCTGTGAGGACGCAGTTGCAGTAGCTGGGCTGTAGTGTTGGTATCTGGGCAATCAGACCGTAATCCTGGTCTGCCCTGCATATCGACACCGAGCAGAGAGCAAGCAGCTGACCAGGTGGGAAGTCAGCCACAGTCTAGACAGTTGACCCCAGGCAAAGAGCCTCCAGAGGAGACTGTCATGGGGCAAGCTGCCAGTTCTGTGCACACCAGACCTGCCGGAGGGAGGGGTGTCAGAGGGCTTGACTTTACTAAAGGGTTTTCACAGTTGTGGAGGTGAGGTGAGCTGCTTTGTTGCTGGGCAAGTCCTGGAGGAATGGGGCTCCCCCACCACCCATTCCCTCCAGAGGATATGACACCACACACCTCGTGTCCTGCACTGTGCCTGCAAGCCAAGTCGCTTCAGTTGTGTCCGACTCTGCGACCCTATGGACTCTAGCCCACCCAGACTCTTCTGTCCACAAAGCCAATTTAATCTTGTGGAGAAATTAGTCAACAGGCTGAGCCAAGCAGAAGCCAAGGAGAGGTTATGCAGTTGTATAAACAGCCTTTTAAAAAAGTAAAAGTAAAAAATTAAAGTGGCAGCTCACTTTAATGACCATCATGACCTATGGTATTAGAAATGAAGAAAACTCACATTTTTTAATATTTAATTTGAGCAAGGCCTGGTCCATGTTTTGTATAGATCTCTCATTCAGGCCACACAACCAACCACCCTGTGCTTATCATCCCCATCTTTACAGGAGTTAGGTAACTTTCCTGGGGTGAGTCAGCCAGTAAGGAGTGGATTGGAATTCCAACCCAGATCCCCTGCTTTTCCCAAACCCGCTCTCGCTCTTGGCCTGCAGTCCATCCCATGGAGAGACTAAACCCTCTCACCAGCCTGGGAAGAAAGCACTGGGTGTGTTTAGAGTGCTTGTGTGCGAGTTTGGGGAGATGCAGGGATGGAAGACAGCAGCAGAATTGAAAAGTAGTGACATCATAGTTTGTTGCCATGTAATTTATTTACTTCAGTTAAACTTGGTCATTTTCCAGTTGTTTCAATTGTCAAAAAACAGGCTGTATTTCGATGGGCTGGGGTGGGGGGGCAGGGGGAGGCGAGAAACTCTTCTTTACTAATTCTCGGAAACCTTGTTTTCCTGCCCCTGCTCCTCAGTTTTCAGTTCTGACCTGTCTCCTTTAAGATCTCTCCCCTTTTCAGGTTCTCCTCACAGTGGGAAGCCCTCTTTGTAGCTCCCTACAGCCTGTGAGCTCTTGGGATGGCCTTAAAGCTAGGCCTGTGCTTGCAGGCTGCTGTAACGTGGGGGAGGTGGAGGCCTCCTCCCCGGCCAGCACTCCTGGAATCAGTGGCAGTGCAGGAGAAATGACCCACTCACCCCTCAACTTGCTGAAGTGAGCTTGGCTTTTCAATTCCCATCAGGGGGCAGGCTTTGCTGAAAACAATAAACTTGCTTTTTAATTTACTAATAGGAAAATGAAGGTCCTTTCAGTGCAGCATACCATACTACATATCGAATAGATTTCCTGAGTCAAGGAATGGTTAAGAATTCTGCCAAATAGCAGAACAAATAAATATTTAATTCCCTAAATGCTTGAAATGGCTTCCATCAAGGCTGCATTTTACTCTTAAGTTCTGTACTTCTTAGTCAACCTTATTTTTCCCTTTAAATCACAAGGATATGCCTAAGCACCACACCCTTCTAGCCCTGAAGAAAGGGGGGAACCTCCCCCTCCCCTGAGGGGCATTGGAGAGCAGGAAGCAGATTACATCACAGTGGGTTATCTGCGCCCATTAGAATGTCTGCCCCCAGGAATCATATATCTCTACTGATGGCATTCTTTGCAATCCCAAAGCATGGCTCAGAGAGAATAAATGTGTGCACCCTCCTGACCAGGCCCTGCTCTCGATGCCGGCCACGTTGGAAGCGCACGGACCCCTAACCATGGGAGCCCTTTACCTGCTGGTCCCCACATGCGCCCGTGCCGGCTTCTCCCTTTCGTCAGCTTCTTACCTAGTCTCAAATCAGATGTGGGGAATGGAATGTTATTTTAAATGTGCAGTCACTCAGGTTTGGGTGCCAAGTAGAAGTTGTGCAACAACTGCTTCTGTTGCTCTGAGAAGCCAGAGCTCAGCCTTGCCTTTCACAGCAGAGTTGAAGCTCAGGGTTTTGCCATGAAGCACTTCCAGGGCGTCCAAAAGATACCAAGTCCAGCTCTCACTAACCAGTTTAAACTCGGCTGTAAGTATGCTTTCTTGATTGTCCTTTTGTTTGAATTGGTAAAGTGGGTTTCTTGAGATAAAAAGGAGGGAGAAAAAAAACCTCGGGCTTCTTATGCCTTTTCTTGTTGCCTTTTCTAAGGTCAGTAGGAGGGAAGGGAGCCAGGTCTTGGATTCTGGTTTGCGGCATGAGCTTAACCTTGCATGTCACTTTCTAGGTGTTGGTTTTGTCACCTGGAACATTGGAGCTTTGGGATTAAGTGATCTTTAAGATCCCTTCTGGGGCTTCCCTAGTGGCTGAGCAGTGAAGAATCTGCCTGCAATGCAGGAGAGCCGGGTTCAATCCCTGAGTTGGGAAGATCCCCTGGAGGAGGGCATGGCAACCCACTCCAGTACTCTTGCCTGGAGAATTCCATCTACAGAGGATCCTGGTGGGCTACAGTCCATAGGGTCACACAGAATTGGGCACAACTGACGCGACTAAGCATCAGCAGCAAGATCCCTTCTAACCTTTGAAATTCATGAAGCCTTGATTCTGTTGCACACACAGAAATGATTTCTCCCACATCTCTGTGAGACGTTGCTAAATAAGAAAATTCAGAGTTGCTGGCCCAGGGAGGAGAGTGCCCTTCTCCTGGTGGGGCCTATGCATTTGGCTCAGTGGATTTACCCTTTTGTTGTTATGGCTGGGGTGCTAGGCATTATGTGATGGGGAATGTCTCTAAGAAAACTATCATGCCTGCCTAAAATTTACCTGTAGCCAGATCTGAGTATTCAGTTTACTGGAGTGTCTCAGCCATCCCCAGAGAAGAAGCCACATTCAGAAGTGAAATAACTCTCCATGTAAACAAACCATCCTTTATGACACTCGGTGCTTCTCCCTCTTGAAAATGAAAAACAGTGCCGGATTGGAGCTTGGCATTCTAGTCCACAGGCACTACTATTTGGGGTCCCGCCCTTGCCCTGCAATAGGCCACATGATTTGTGATTTTAGGGCCCATGCTAAACAAAAAAAAATCTTTTCATCATCCTCTTGATGCGGTTGATGAAACTGTACAATTAGAAAAACCATTCCTTAGAATTCACCTGGGGTGATCATCCTGTCATTTTTCATACGTTCACCTGAGGGTTGGTGATGTGATCAGAAATCTGCCTTCCTAGTAGACTGAGGGCGTTGTCCAAAGTAAAGAAGAGGATGGGAGGAGGGCAGAGAGGGCAAGAACAGGAGGAATAAGCGGCACCGCCCAGAGGCTGGGCATCTTCCATTGAGCTGGAAGGGCCTGACCTCAAGCAGTCAGTGATGGTGATGGTAAGATCGTGAGAGCACCGAGATTGTTCATTGCCACATCACCAGTGCCGTGCTGCAGGGCAGGTAACGGGTGGTGCTAACTTACCACTTCCTGAGTACATGTGGCAGTCGGCATTGAAGCCATCAATATGAGTAAGTAGCAGGCACGTTGGAGTTCCACTGGGCCTGGAAGAATCGCAGAATGGGCAAGGTTGGGTCAAGGTCAGTGCCTGTCTGGTGGAGAAGGGCATGAGCAGAGGTGAGCTCTGCACAGTATTAGCTAACACACTAAATTAACCAGGCTTATGGGAACTCCTCTGAAAATTAGGAGCATGGTGGATGCATAATTACTGTCCCAAGTTGCCAAGACTTGATTGCAATATAGTTGTTATTCAAATGGCCTTTAAATCTAACCATGCCTGCCTCCTCTTGCCGTGTTGAAAAATAGAAACATTCGCATCTCAGATCCAGTTTATTTCATAATGCTGGTGCCTCTGGCTTTTTACTCACTAATTGTCTAAACTGACTTTTGTATACTGCTCATAATGGTTACGTTAAAAGTTTAGTTGGTCATGTAACAATGAAATGTATGTTATTCTACAAACATAACTGCCTTCTCAAATGCAGCCCTTTACTGTGAGGCAGGAGTGCTGTCGCTGGTGCACAGACTGTTGGTTCTAACAGCCTTAGACTTGAGAAGGTGGAGTCCAGGGTTGGGGAACTTTGGATCCAAGTGTTCACCCTTTGTGGGGTGGCCTGGCATGCATCACAGGCTGCTTTCCTGGATTGGTTTCCAGGCAGGCTGTTAATCAGTGATGTGATAAATCATTCAGTGCTCTGGTCATGTTGTTATTTTTCAGTCACTAAGTCATGTCCAACTCTTTGCAACCCCATGAACTGCAGTACACCAGGCTTCTCTGTCCTTCACTATCTCCCAGAGTTTACTCAAATTCATATCCATTGAGTTGGTGATACTATTTAACCATCTCATCTTCCGCCCAAGGCAAAAGGAGAAGAGGGCTATGGTATTAATGCTGCTAATTTTAAAGAGAAATAAGCTTTGAAAGCATAAGATACATAGACCAGAACATCCATGTGTGTAGAGTTCAGTGAATTTTCCTAGGCTGAACACACCTAAGTAACTGCAGCCAGATGAAGAGACAGAATATGGCCAGCCCCCAGAAGCCCACTTTGTGCTCTGTTAGTCTCACTGGCTCCAAAGGGAGTCTTTGGACTGAGAGCCAACACTCAGAATCAGTTTCACCTGCCTTTGTACTTTGCACAAATGGAATCATATCTTGATTGTGTTCGACCTCCGTACCTAAATATTATGTGTGTTGAGACTTGTACATATTTTAGGAAATTAGTTCTAGTTTTTTAAATAGTTTAAAAATAGTTTAAAATAGTAAACTCTAGTTTAAAATAGCTCTGTTTTTTCTCCATTACACTCCATTTTGCTCATTTCAGAATGGCAGATACAAAAGCCCTCCCTCTGTCAGTTATTCAGGGACATCTGGATAAACTTAGAAGAAGTTCAAAGTGCTACACAGTGTGAAAAGCTGTATTTTTATAGTTTGGGAGGGATTAGAATTAATTGGGGTGGAAAGGGAGGGGCCAAAACATAGTTTCAAAAGTAGGGAAGAAAGGGACTCAGCCGCAAGGTTTGGTAGCATGACTGGGGAGTGGAGAACAGAGCACCCTTTGAATCATGTGAGCAGGGAGTTGATGGACTGTGAGGTCGGCTGGCCTGTGAGCCATATGTTCGGCTTTATTCCTTATTGTCGCTCACTTAGCCACTCTGCTTGATGGCAGAGATCCTGCTAGTCAGTTCTTACTCATTGTGAATTCACCAGACCTTTTGAGTACTCCCATGGAACCTTTTCGCTGGGCGGTGACTGCTGTGGCCCGGGAGTGACTTGTGTTTCCCCATCAGGCCCTGGATGGGGACTTCTCCGAGGACAACCGCACCAAGTGTCGCATTGCCACCGCCCCCTTGATTGAAGCCGTGGAGAACTTGACAGCATTCGCCTCCAACCCTGAGTTTGTCAGCATTCCTGCCCAGATCAGCTCCGAGGTAGGGAATCTTCACAGCGACAGTAGCACTGAGGCCTGCGGCTAGTTTTGTGTGTCCCTGAATGGAACGAACAGTTAACAGTTCCAAAACCCCTCTCTGTCAATACATAGGGCACTGTTATTTTGTCAGTGATGACACATGCAGTTAATGAAACTGTGTTGGTATATCTCTCAAAAGGTGATGTCTTGGTTTTATATGTTGAGAATAACCTGGACATAGGTTTGGGGCTGATTCTTGGTATACGTCAAACTCAAAAATGACACTTAAAGATTGGACGTAGCCCCAAGTTCTCCCCATCCAGGCCCCAGGTGAGCCAGCCTCCATGGTTCCCTACCCTCTGTCTTGATAAAGAACATGACCTTCCTGGGTCAGGTTCATTCATTTAATCTGTGTGCCCTGCCCTTGACTTCTGCTGTCTGGTCCCAGGGCTCCCAGGCACAGGAACCAATCCTGGTCTCAGCCAAGACTATGCTGGAAAGCTCATCGTACCTCATCCGCACTGCCCGCTCACTGGCCATCAATCCCAAAGACCCGCCCACCTGGTCTGTGCTAGCCGGACATTCCCACACCGTGTCTGACTCTATCAAGAGTCTCATCACGTCCATCAGGTTAGTGTCTCCTGCAGAAATTGTGGCCTGCATCTGACGGGGCAGGAGGGGGATAAGCCCAACAGGAATTTTATTTAATAGCAATGCTGTTGATTATTGTCATAATTTTTTTTTTCTTTACCTCTCTGGGACCAATGGTAGCACTTGTCACAATAATACAAATACTAACTTAAGTATTTGTTATATGTTAGATACTATTCAAGGCATTTTACTTGTATTAATTTTATGTTTATCATAACAACCTTGTAAAGTAGATGCTGCTATTATCTCCCTTTTCCTGGTGAGAGAATTCAGAAAGAAATTTAGATAACATTCCCAAGGTCATCCCCAGGTCTGATTAGGGATCAAACCTTTAGCCTTGACCTGAAGACCTCAGATCTTTAGCCTCAGCCCTTCTAACCATTGTACATAGTGTCTATACCTAGGAACTTAGGCAGAGAGCACCACTGTTTATTTAGCAGGATTCATGGTTAACTTTGGGCTTCCCTTGTGGCAATGACAATGCACTCCAGTACTCTTGCCTGGAAAATTCCACAGACGGAGGAGCCTCATAGGACACAGTACATGGGATCAAAAAGAGTCGGACATGACTGAGCGACTTCACTTTGTACTTTGTACTTTTGTCCCTTGTGGCTCAGCTGGTAAAGAATCTGCCTGCAATGCGGGAGACCTGGATTCGATCCCTGGGTTGGGAAGATCCCCTGGAGGAGGAAAAGGCTACCCACTCCAGTATTTTGGCCTGGAGAATTCCATGGACTGTGTAGTCCATAGGGGTCGCAGAGTTGGACACGACTGAGCGGCTTTCACTTTCACTTCATGGTTAACTTACCTTGCTGATAAGACAAAAATAATATTCTAGGTCCTACAGTAACTCTTGGCATTCCTACCCTCCTTGGGGACAGTAGGAACCTGAACAGCTATCCCGTGTAGGTAAAACATTTTTGAAGTTGACCAAAGTTAATAGCCCACAGTATGGAATTGCATCCCTTTCCTCAGTTATATTTTGTCTTTCAAATGCTTTTGAAACTCAGGATCACGTCAACTTTCTTAATGCCTTGTGAAGAAAGATCCACTAAATATTTTAACTCCTGCCATAGCCCAGGACTTTGTGAGTAGTTTGCAATGTAGAGAGCATAGTATATTTATACTGGAAATAGCACTGATTTTTGTTTTGTTTTGTTTTGTTTAAATGATGTTTCTATGTTTAAGCCACTGAATGGAGAATCCAATACCAAACTGTTTCATTTGCCTGGCAACCTGCCTGAGATGCAGGACAGCACCCTACCCTTCCCACCATAAATAAGTAGACTGAGCACAAGTGTTTAATGAAGAAATGCCTAGGTTCTGCAGAGAAGCATTGCCAAGCAAAGGTCAGGGATTCACTTGCTAAAGCAATGGAGTCGGATAGAAAGTAGACAGGCTCCTGGCCCACTAGTGCTGGAGCAGGTTGTGGAACTGGCACTTCATAAAGCCTGTGTTCAACTTGCCCTGTCCCTCCTAGGGACAAGGCCCCAGGACAGAGAGAGTGTGACTTCTCCATCGACAGCATCAACCGGTGCATCCGGGATATCGAGCAGGCTTCGCTGGCGGCCGTCAGCCAGAGCTTGGCCACGAGGGATGACATCTCCGTGGAGGTATGTGGGGCTGTGTGGTCAGCCCAGAAGCCTCTCTCTGGAAGGACTGAAGAATCCCAGCACCAGGCTTTGGGAATGGGGGAATAATACCAACACATTGTTGATCCAAAAGTTTCATCATTGGACCATCTTCCCCTGGAACCAGCCTGGAAAGTTCTTGGGAGGGGGTAAGGCATATGGGAAGCAGAGAACAATGGTTTGGTGAAGGAACAAGTGTACTGTGGCTGAAATTTGGAAGGAAATGATTATTGTCAAATAAAAGTGTATCTGTAAGTGGAGTTACCATATTCAGTTGAACACCTCAGTAGGGCAGACCTAAGCATGTAAACTTTGAGTGCTTCCCTGTCATATTTCAGCAATGTGTTTTTTGGACTAATGGGCAAATTCAGCATTCAATACTCTGTGTTTTGTCCATGCAGAGATCAAAGATTCTGCCCTTATTACTTAGTATCTAGTATTGAGAGACCTCTTACATCCTATTCAGAGCCACTTTCCCCTCTCTTGCCCATTATTTTGAAGCTGAGAATAGACTTTCCTACTTTGCTCCCTTGAGTTTTTTCTATTACTTATTACAGAGTCCCCTGATTCATACTTTTTTTCCTGTGTGGAAGTGCCTGACACTGAAGGTGCTTAATAAATATGGTCTATTGACTGATGTTTCCCTCCTGACCCAGAGCTCGTCAACAATAAACTTTGGGGTCTTCCCTGGTGGTCCAGTGGTTAAGACACTGCGCTTCCACTGCAGGGGGCACAGGTTCAGTCTCTGATTGGGGATTTAAGATCCCACATGTCGTGTGGGATGGCCAAAGAATAGGAGAAAAAAAAAAAGAATTTTGGCCTGTTTCTAAGCAGGGGCTGGAGTTGGAATTGGTTATTTTTATTAATAGAATTATTTCACTCCAACTTTACCCATCTTCCCCATTTCCAAGGAAAGAAAAAAAGAATATCCATTCTCATTCCATATGGAATGTTAGAATTATTGTTAACTTATTATTAAAGTAGAATAAACATACAAAACTCTTTGCTTGTCATATGTGTACTGCTTCAGAGACTGCCACTGACTAAGCACATCCTGTAACTAGCACCCTGAGCAAGAAACTGAGATGATGAACACCCCTCCCACCTCTTGCACTCCCATCCTTTCACCACCCTCCCAAAGCATATCCTCTGTCTTGACTTCCTCCCTGGGAAGAAAATCCCTCCCTTTTATCTGCATGTGCTTCCTACTTATACCATATTTAATTTAACAAGCCATATTTAATTTAACAAGACAACCTTGCCTGGATATTCTTACATTCTTAACTGCAGTTACATTATGAGTGGGAAGACCAGAAATAATTTGCTAAATAAGACCCTTGAAAGTGTGGAGGTTTCTCTCCACCCACCTCTATCACTCTTTTTCCTTTTTTTTATTTTTTACCCAGGATTTTGTTTCCAAGCTTGTGGGTTAGGTTGCTCCTCTCATTGAGGGAACTCTGCTCAAAGCTCGCCACCCCATGTGCAGCATTGCTGGGTGGGAGAGTAGCCCAAATGTCTTGTCTGATAGGCAGGACACTGTCACTTTGTTAGGAATCACCCCATTCCGTGCCGGCATGTGCAGACCTAAAACACCCAGCATTCTGACCTGGAAATCCTGTCTGTCTAGGAAAGCTCTATTGAAGATTCCCACCGAGGGATCTGATCTTTCCCACTACCAGTTAGCACTCTCCACCTTTGAATTCCTTACCCCCTTCACACTTCAGAATCATCTAGACAGCTTGCCCCATCTCTTTAGAGCACGAGTTTAATTCTTTGGGTTGGAGAAATTAAACTCTTAAACCTGAGAAGAAATGCCTTGAGGGTGCCATTTTCAACAGTGGTATCCACATCACCAAGTACAGTGCATAGAGCGCCTGACCTAAGTCTAGTGGGCACCTCGTCGCATTTTCACCATGTGGTATCTGGGAAACAGTCCTGCTTTAAGAGCCAATATCATTTTTAGGTTACCCTCTTCCCCACCCCCTGCTTAAGGGGTTCTTAGTTCTGAGGATGCAGCAACCTGAATATTCCCTCAGACCCCAAGGTAGTTCCTTCCATTTGGACATAGTTTTTTCCCTTATTGGAAAGCCGCCGCAGTTCTGCTTTTCCAGTAATGATTCTGAATAACCCAAAGTAAAGATACCACTAGCACCAGTTGTCACTGTGACTGCTCAGAGTGAGAAGCCAGTAGCAAAAGTGTTCCTAGGGCCCACCTCATGCTCCTTATGGGTAGAACTGGGGGGTCTATCCCAGGGGAACCGAGGGTCCCTGGGAGGGCTTGAGTGGAACAGTGGCTGGAGGGTATGCCCAGGCATTTTAACATCCATTTCTTGTGACCTCCCTTATCTTTCACGTGGGCCTTTTTAAATCAGTACAACTATGTGGGGAGCCATTGTGGGGTGAACTTGACAGATCTGTCTCCTTATCAGGCCTTGCAGGAGCAGCTGACTTCAGTGGTACAGGAAATCGGACACCTTATCGATCCCATTGCCACAGCGGCTCGGGGAGAAGCAGCTCAACTGGGACATAAGGTAACAGGCATTGGGCGCGGGGACCCTGCTGAGAGTGTGCGAGAAGGAGGCAGGGGTAGGGGAGAGAGGATATTGATTCTGTTGCTCTTGTTCCTCAAAGGCTCTTGGCCGGTGTTAGAGCCAGGTCAGTGCTGGCCTACATTAAAGAAAAGACCACTCAACCTCCCTCAACCACTTCTCCAAAAATGACCCCCTCAAGGATCTCTTTTCATTTAGCATTGAGACAAAAACTGCAGGGAAATTTTTCTGAGGCTTCCACTTCTTTACGCTAGTGGTAAAGAACCTGCCTGCCAATGCAGGAGACACAGGAACCTCGTGTTCAATCCCTGGGTCGGGAAGATCCTCTGGAGTAGGAAATGACAACCCACTCCAGTATTCTTGCCTGGGAAATCCAATGGACAGAGGAGCCTTGCAGGCTACAATCCATACAGTTGCAAAGAGTCAGACACGACTGAAGCAACTCCATATGGTCGCAAAGAGTCAGACACAACTGAAGCACTTAGCGCTTAGCAAGTGCAACTTAGCACTTAGCACATGGTCAGACTTTGTAGCCAACAAGGCATTTACAGTCACTTCTTGCTCTTGATCTTCCCTGGGACAAACCAGAGACTGGACTTGGCATTCCTGGACTGGTGTCTGCCATTTTTTTGCCCTGGCTCACCAGCCTCCTCCCAGTGTGTTTAGGACACAGTGTTCCTCCATGGTTTCTGGTATTGTGTCCATTTTCAGACATGGCGGAAGCAAAGCAGACTTTCAGACTTCACCCTTGATGGCTAAAACCTCTGTGTGGCCACTCTGTCAGCCCTTCAACTGAGCACCCAAACCCACATGGTTTCAGGCACTGCATAACGCTTTGCCTGTTTGGGGTCATTTTGCAGATCCTTCAGGGAGCATTGGCTCATCAAGCAGCCTATGCCTTGGCAGAGAGAGGACAGAGATTGCATTTTTAACAACCCACAGGGTTTCCTAGTATTTATCAGTGCCACCATCAACATCAATGTGCAGATCAAGAAATCCAGCAGCCAAAATTGTCTCTGCAGGTATTGATTTTAAAAAATCAATATTCCTGCTTTTTCAGATTACATAAGGGCCTACTAAGCTTCCTGCTGGTTCTAAGGAGAGGCGTTTGAGATTTAAAATGGCCAGTGTCTCTCTGCCATTTCAAGTGTGGCCAATTTCATTTCTCAACTGAGCCCCTTTATGATAAGAAAGGGCTTGTCCACTGGTGCGAAATGGTGTTGAGGATGGAAGGACAGGCCTGGAGGCTGGCATACAGTGTATGTGACTACTGTGGGCAGAATAAGTTTGGCAGAGATGCCAAACTTTGTTTCAGCAGTTACTCTTATTTAAAGTATTTATTTTATTTTCTGGCTGTGCTGGATCTTCGTTGCAGAGCATAGGCTTTCTCTAGGTGCACAGGCTTCTCATTGGAGTATCTTCTCGTTGCGGAGCATGGGCTCTAGAGCATGCAGGCTCAGTAGCTGTGGGCTTAGCTACTGCGGTGGCACATGGAATCTTCTGGGACCAGGAACTGAACTGTGTCCCCTCCCTTGGTAGGTGGATTCTTAACCACTGGGCCACCAGGAAAGTCCCCAACAGCTGCTTTTGATTCCAGTAGGAATCTCATAAGAAAATATTTCTAGACTTCCCAAGGTAACATCTTTGTCTCTGCCAATATGTTGTTTGTGTGGAAGATTAATTCCTCTGCCAGTGGGTGGCCTGAGAAGAAAACTTACTTGTATCACTTGAGTTATCAATTGATTCTTGGCTCCTTGGCTAAACAAGACTCATCTTCTGAAAGGGAGTTCTGGACAATGGTAGCCTAGGAGCCCTTGGTCCACAGGGATCATGGGCTGATGGTTAATACCCACCTGGTTCCAGTGTTTCATGGAGGTGCTCGTGCGGGGCCCCCAATTCAGCAGCTACGGTACCACTTGGGAGTGATAAAGGCAGATTCTCAGACCCCACCTGGATTGGTTTCCCACAGCTGCTGTGACGAAGTACCACAAACTGGGGGGCTTAAAACAAGAGATATTTAATCTCTCACTGCTCTGGACTCCAGAAGCCCAAAATCAAGGTGTTGGCAGGGCCACACCTTGTTTTCTGCAGGCCTTGGGGAGAGTCTGCTCTTTGCAGCTTCCAGCTGGTGGTGGTTCTTGGCCTTCTTTGACTGGATCTTGGCTAGCCTCTCTCCCTGGTCACTTTTTTTCCCCACTTTTCTGCCTTCCCTTTTTCTATCTCTTCTAAGGACACTTGTCATCAGGTTTGGGGCCCACCCAAGAAATCCAGTATGATCTCATCTTTGTTGCTGTTGTTGTTCAGTCACTCCATGAACTGCAGCACACCAGGCTTCCCTGTCCTTTACTATCTCCCAAAGTTTGCTCAGATTCATATCCACTGAGTCGGTGATACCACCCATCCATCTCATCCTCTGCCACTTCCTTCTCCTTTTGCCCTTAGTCTTTCCCAGCATCAGGATCTTTTTCAGTGAGACAGATCTTTGCATCAGGTGGCCAAAGTATTGGAGCTCCAGCATCAGTCCTTCCAATGAAGGGTTTATTTCCTTTAGGATTGACTGGTTTGATTTCCTTGCAGTCCAAGGGACACTCAAGGGTCTTCTCCAGCACCATAATTTGAAAACATCAATTCTTTGGCACGTAGTCTTCTTTGTGATCCAACTCTCACATCCATACATGACTACTGGAAAAACCATAGCTTCAACTATATGGATCTTTATCGGCAAAGTGATCTCATCTTAAGATCCTTAAATATTCATGCAAAGACTCCTTTGTAAGATCACCTTTACAGGCTCCAGGGTTTGGACATGGACATACCTTTGGGAGGGGTCACCATTCAACCCACTCACCTTCCCTAGGCCTAGGGACTCACATCATGTACCAAATACTCAAAATTCTGTTTTATTTTAACTTCTGTGCTAACCCACATAAGAAGGTTTCCTGTTCTATCGTGTCTCTAAGAACAGAAGGTGTTGGAGTCTTCGCCAGACTTCTTAAATACAGAAAAAAAATCCCATCCCTTTCAAACCTTTGCCCCACAATATGTGAGGAATAAGGACCCCTAGTGCTCACCCCTAGTGAGTATAAGGGCCCTATACTACATGGAGGCCTGTGCTAAGGCCTTTACATATGCTGACTTAATCCCTGAGAAATCTGAAGAAACTTACTGCTATTACATTTTACCAAGGAGAAAACTAAAATTTAGTATTAATAATAGGATGGAACCTGCCTAAAATGTCTTAAAACAGTAGGGAGGATTCAAATCTAGTGGCTTTGAAGCTATAGCTTACTCCCCATCACCCCGCCATCTTCCTTCCCTGAGGCAGTCAGGCACATGTTTAGCTGTGATCAATTATGCTCAACGCACAGCATTTTATAGTTGCATTGAAAAAATGTACTTTTAAAAATATATATATATATATATTTATTTGGCTGCACCAGGTCTTAGTTGCAGCATGCAGGATCTTTAGTTGCAGCATGTGGGATTTGGTTCCCTGACCAGGGATTGAACCCAGGCGCCCTGCTTTGAGTCTTAGCCACTGGACCACCAGGGAAATCCCTAAAATGCGCTTTTAAAATAATACACGTGTTAGTCGCTCAGTCATGTCTGACTCTTTGCGACCTCATGGACTCTAACCCGCCAGGCTTCTCTGCCCATGAAATTCTCCAGGCAAGAATACTGGAGTGGGTAGCCTACCCCTTCCCCAGGGGATCTTCCCAACCCAGGGATCAAAACTGGGTTCCTGCACTGTAGGCAGATTCTTTCCTGTCTGAGTAAAACTAATCTAGAAAACATACTGGATTCTAGTGTGTTAAATATTTTGACTCCTTTAGTACTGACAGGACCCATCATGAGCCCTGACTCCTGATGACCCATCATCACTGCTCTTGGTGGTGACACTAGTGCCATTCCTGGGGAAATGGAGATGAAATCCAAGCAAACATGCAGGACTGTGCCCAGGATTGTGCAGACTGGGCCTGACACAGAGGTCTTTGCCTGAAGCAGGGAGTCTGGGGACCAAAATCCAGCCAAGTCACGTGCCTTGGCATCAATCAGTCTGCCCAGAAGATAGGGAGCCCCTTTAAAATTCACACAAAGCACCATAAGGGCCCGCAGCAGCCCTGTTCAAGTGCTTTGAAACCTATGTGTCAGATAACTGTAATTGGAGATAGAAAAGTAAAAGTGTTTGTTTTTTGCTGATAGTCTTATCTCACTATTAGCTTTATATATATATGTGTGTGTGTGTGTGTGTATATATATATATACATATATATATAATTTACTTTGTTTGCTTATTTATTTTGGCTATGCTGGATCTTCACTGTGGCTCACAGGCTCGTCTTGGCGATGTGCAGTTTTCTCTAGTTGCAGCACATAGGTTTAGTTGTAGCATGTGGGATCTTAGCTCCCCACTCAGGGATTGAACCCAGGCCCCCTGCATTGGGAAGACGGAGTCTTAACCACTAGACCACCAGGGAAGTCTCACAGTGTTAGTGTAATGAACATTCTTATTTTGGAGCCTCACCTTGCCACAGCCCCCACCACCACCCCCTGCTTGTATTTTATCTGCGTGGGAATAGATGATGGCATTTGAAGCAAGTTCAGCAAGCTGTTAACATATGATATTACAGATGCTAGGTAGATGGTGAGCTTTGGTGAGCATGTACAGTCAGCCCCGTGTATCCACGGATGCTGAAACCACAGATGCAGAGGGCCGACTGTGCTACAGCATTTCATATAAGAGACTTGAGCATCCTCAGATTTTTGGTATTCATGGAGATCTTGGAACCCCCTGCAGATACCAAGGGATGACTGTGTGCACCATCAATAGTGTTACCAACTAGAGACAGATCTCTGCTGTAGCAATGCTTAACTGTCTTGATGGACTTTTTTTTGTTCTCCCACGTAGTTGTTGTTCAACCAGTAAGTCATGTCCTACTCTGTGACCCCCTGGATTGTAGCACTCCAGGCTCCTCTCTCCTCCACTATCTCCTGAAGTTTGCTCAAGTTCATATCCATTGAATTGGTGATGCTATCNTTTATTTGCCATGAAATGATGGAACCAGATGCCATGATCTATCCCATGTTGGGTTCATCATAAACAGAACATTTTGATTGATGGGAAATAATTTTTTCCCCACATCCATGGTTTGGTCAAAATACTTGGGGGTGGAGAGCAGTGGGTTGACTTTCTGAATCTCTTTTGAGGGTGCCTTTACTCTAAGGCTGCTTTTCTCTCCTCCCTGCTCCCCTGCCCCTCTCCTAGCCCCCTTCCCTTTGAGTCTGTAAGTTGTTCACCTTTGGTTCTTTCAAAAGCTCTTCTATTCGTGAAATTAAAACTTTTTGTAAAATTTGTAAGATTTGTAAAATTCTCACACCTAACTCTAGATCTCAGGACAGATTTCTTAGCACTTCTGCTATGATCAGAGATAGACAAAGAACTTCCCAGAGGAATAAAAATCTAAGCAAGAGTTCATTCATTACAACTACTCTCAAAATTGAAGCTGGACAAGGAATAAGGTCTGAGGATCTAATAAATGTAACATGGTGACTGTAGTTCATAACACTGGATGTACAGTAGAGAAAAACAAAAGTGGAGTCCAGCAGACCTGCCTCTCCCTACGACTCTTTCCGTCTCTGCCCCAGTCCCCGCCCCACCAGTGTGCTCAGTCGTGGCTGACTCTTTGCAAACCCATGGGCTGCAGCCCACTAGGCTCTTTTGTTCATGGGATTTTCCAGGCAAGTATACTGAAGTGGGTTGCCATTTCCTCCTCCAGGAGATCTTCCCAACCCAGGGATCAAACCCTCAGCCCCTGCATCTCCTGATTTGGCAGACGGGTTCTTTATCACTGCGTCACCCTGGAAGCTCCCTCCTCACCAGTGGGACCCCTAAAGGAGATTCACGTATGTGTTTGTTTGTTTGTTTGTTTGTTTTGTCGTGAAAGGTGACACAGCTGGCAAGCTACTTTGAGCCCTTGATCTTAGCTGCAGTGGGTGTCGCCTCCAAGATTCTGGACCATCAGCAGCAGATGACGGTGCTGGACCAGACCAAGACGCTCGCAGAGTCTGCCCTGCAGATGCTGTATGCGGCCAAGGAAGGTGGAGGAAACCCCAAGGTACAACTCAGGATGCTAGGGACTCACTTAGGACACTGAGAAGCCACCGGAAGTTCCTCTGTATCATGCCCCTCCAGGGAAGGCACCTCCACGTTTTGGATGGTGGCATTTTTTTTTTAATTAACCATTTTGTGATCGTTATTATTATTTTTTGATGGTGTTGGCTCTTCTTGCTGCACATGGGCTTTCTCTACTTTTGGGGAGCGGGGACTACTCTTTGTTGTTGGGCATGGACTTTTCATTGCGGTGGCCTCTCTTGTTGCGGAGCACAGACTCTAGGCTCATGGGCTTCAGTAACTGCAGTGTGTGGGTCAGCAGTTGAGGCATATGGGCTCTAGAGCTCAGGCGTGTGTGGGCAAGAGTTCTTGGGAAAGAAAAATATACTGTGTGGTTATTGCAGGAATAAAAACCGTACCAGCCGGGCACCTGCTTGGTGCTGACACGCAGCTTACACGAAGCAAACCTCTGTTGTTTTCCAGTAAGTGTCATTTCCATTCCTGGTAGTTGAGTTCAAAGAATAGCATGGTGCCCTGTCGCCTGTGGCATATGCTGCTGTCGCCTTGGGGACAGGAGTTTAATATGAAAATCTCCCTCACCAGTTTGCAAGTGGAACATTTCTTCAGCCTGATGTGTCCCTTGGGTACCTTACGTGGCCAGAGATGGTGGCAGCATGTTCTTTTCTCTTGGGAATGATTTTGTCAAAGTGATTATTTTACTTGTAAATCCAGTATGAACCTTAAGTTTCCTCAGGTTTCTGGAACCTGGAGAGGGTGTGGAGGCTTCCCACTACACTCGTGTTTTGTTCTAACAGGTTCCTCCATTAAGTCATCTGATCTGAATGTCTTCTTCTAAACAGGCTCACTTGAGGGAACACTACTGGAATGATTTCTATAGGATACTGACCTACAAGCTCCAGCGATCCATATGTATTTCTTGGTGTGTTTTGTTGTATCTCTAGGATCTTCAAAGGAGTCAAGTGGTGTAGCAGAGAAAACTCTAGACTGAGTCAGAATCGCAAATAGTGTTCTCAGAGTTAATAGTTATTGAGTGCTGACTCTATGTCATTTACCACATCTTATGCCCTCATCCTGTTTAATCTTCATTGAAAACTCTGTGACATAGGGGGTTCCCATTGTACACATGTGGAAGCTGACTTCTCTGCTAAGTTGCCTGAGATGTCTGATGAGGTGTGTGTGGGTGGGGCTGAGCCTGCACCCTACGGAAACACAGGCGGACTCAGCCTGGAGCAGGGCTGGGAGGATCAAGGAGAGAGACAGGGAGGAGGGCTGATGAGTTTCAACAAAAGGAAATTACCTGACACATGAGGGTAGCTAGAGCCACGGTAGGAAGAGGAAACAGCATCTGCAAAGGTGTAGATAGAGTAATAGAAGGATTGTGATCTTTTTAGCACTTGGCCTGGGCTTCCCCACTGGCACAGTGGTAAAGAATTCACCTGCCAGTGCAGGAGGCACAAAGAGACTCGGGTTTGATCCCTGGGTCTGGAAGATCCCCTGGAGAAGGAAATGGCAACCCATTCCAATATTCTTTCCTGGAGAATCCCATGGACAAGAGGAGCCTGGCAGGCTACAGTTCATGGGGCTGCAAGGAGTTATACCCAACTGAGCACGTACATGCATGCTGGTGTGTATGGGACATGGAGAGTGTAGGGACAATGGGACGGGAAGGGAGTCTGGGCTGAATTGTGACTGGCTTCCTCCCCACCCGGAGGAGCTGGGGCTTTATTGTGAGCGGTATGGAATGATAACAACCCATCAATAGTCTAGAATCTCCATTCTGGAAACAGCATGGATAATGTTTTGACTTGCATCCTCTATGTTCAGTCTTTCACTCATGCATCTGGCAACTCTTAAGAGACTCATTCTGGGGATGCTAAAAATATTGAGAGCCAGTCTCAGCCCTCAAGTTCTTTTGAGTCTTCTGGCAAAATAAGTCTAGTTGCTGAAGTGCTGGGCAGAGCAAGAACAAGAATGCCCTCTTGGCTGTGACAGGTTAGTGATAGGTGTCCCAGAGTCAGGCCCACCCACTTTGCTCCCTTCCTGAACTGGAGGAGCCAGGACTGACCTTCCAGACCCAGTTCTGTGTTGTCTTTTCTCCAGGGCTGCCTAATGCCACATCTCCACTCCTAACCTGAGGGAGTTTCATTCTCAGCAGAATAACTCAAATTAGGATGCTTCTGCATGATTACAATATTAGCACATCTGCTGGGACTGCGGGTTCTGAGATCCTTGTGGAAGTCTGTTTTTTTGCCAAGGAAATTCATGGTTGAGCATTTGTAGTCAGCACTGTAAGCTTGATGATGACATCTTTTGATCGGAGGTGGTGGCTGGAGGCCAGCATGGGGTAGTTTTCAGTGAAAGGCCTAAAGCACCAGGTGATGAACTAAGACGTGTGATGAGAGACAGCAACTCAGGACTTGATGTGGATCCTCTCACCAACAGCAATCACCCGTGCTGTCTGCTGACTCCACCAGGCCTGTCACAGGGAGCCTGGGACACTGCACCTTGGCTTGCAGCCCCTTTCCTAAGAGGCCAGGTGCAGAGACTTAATCCCCTTGCATCAAGGGGATTGCTATTCTTTGGGCAAATATTCACTAGGGGTTACTTGCTGTGTGTTAGGTGATGTATGTATGTATGTATTAGGTGTCATAGTTCTTGTTTGCAGAGGAAATGTGGTTAAAATGTGGTTGAATGGTTTTCAGTGGCTTTGATCTATCAAGGAAAAAAATTAAAAAGAGGCACGCACAGAGCCTGGTGTTAATGAATCACATGAGTACCAGGCATTTGGTGTGTGACCTCACCCCCATCCCACTGAGCCCCTTCTACACTCCTCCTCTACCTCCAGAGCTCTGGCCCACCCCCAGTCCTCCCTCACTCAGCCCCCCACCCCCCATCCCCCTTGAAGAGACCTTCCAACTTCTGCCTGTAACGTTCCAACAAATATCCCCCGCTGTCCATCATTGGGCAGTTCTCATTATTAGTTGTTTTTTTTTCTCTCTGCTGAAGTTGAGATGTGCCCCCATAGCCTTTTCTTCCATTTTCCAAACTCCTGTGATGTCCACGCCTGCTTTACTGGGCTTTGTAGTTGAAACATTGTAATAAAGAAGTAAGGCTCCCTTGGAATTCGACTTTAGACTTGTTTCCAAAAAGGAATGAAGTCTGATTTTTCCCCTGTGTTGTTCTGTGAGGAACAATAACAAGGAGCCGCTCCAGATTGTAAAATGACGACCTCATTGTTAAGCCTGCGCTCCCCTTTGCAGATGTCCTTGGTGGGCTAAGCCTGCCTTAATTGAGAGCCTGCTGTGTCTTCCCCTGTCTGAAGCTGGAGCATTCTGGCAGCCTGCATGTGGGGTTTGGTCTCGGCTGTGTGATCAAGATGAGGTTCGCCATTGGAGTTAGAGAAAATGGTCCTGGGTGAGGCATGTAGTAATTGGAGCAGGCTTCAAAGACTCTGAACTGACCCTTTAAGGATCTGTAAAACTTTAATATGTGGAGTGAAGGAGAACAGACCTTCTGGAGAATTCTGGGTGATTCATTTCTGGGACAGCCAAGAGCAAGGATGTATTTTTGTAGGTTTTGATGCGTGGTGTGGAAAAAGTGTCCTTTATGTTTTCCAAGGAGTTTCAGAGAACTGTTTTGTGATTTACTTCTGCCACTCCCCAAATTAGCTTCTGATCCCTTACTTTACCTTTATGGGAAACCAGATAACTTGGCCAGCCACTCTCTTCTCCCTCAAAATGTGTACTTGCTTTAATATAAAAACAGAGTTGCTGACATTTTTGTGCCACCCATAGGCACTTCAGTCTAAGTGAGATTTACAGAAACGCGCACCTTACATTTTACCTTTTTTAATCAATGAGATCATATTTATGTGAGATTCTCTCTCTGGAGAGTTATGTATAGATGTCATTTTTCAGACTTCCATCGAAATGAAACAATCTGTACATTTTATGTTTTACCTTCTCGGTGCCATGAAATGCACCATTGGCCTAAATGAGCAGTTCCCCTCCATCACATCCGTCAGGGAGAGAGCTTTGCATCCTGACGCAGTTCCTGCAGGATAGCCATCCGTGATCACATATTTCACATCTCACCAGATGTTGTATTTGAAGGACTCTTCTTGATTCCCATGGCTTTTCAATTTTCACGTTCCTATGGCTCACATAGCCTCTTCTTGGAGTTCTTCTATTTCATTTAATCATTCAATAGAGTTATCATTTCCCGTCTCTCACTACCTTCTCACCTACCAAAGGAGTTTCTTGGGTCTTCTGGATGGCTTTTTTCTCCCTAAGGTGCATGGCCCCTGGGCAGTATGGTTCTCCCACCACCTGGCATTAGGTCAGATTCCCCAGGTAAGACCACAGGCCCCTGCTAGACTGTCCTCGATTCAGACACCAGCCCTAAGCCCCAGGCTCCCTAGACCTCTCTTACTCTGACCAGCTGGCTACATTCAGGGCTTCTCACCATCCCTTAGTTTGGTTAATATGCTCAACTCAGGAAATTGCTCTACTTACAGTCACACCTTTATTATAAAGGATGCGTGTGTGTGCATGCTAAATCACTTCAGTCATGTCTTGACTCTTTGTGACCCCCATGGATTATATAGCCCTCCAGGCTCCTCTCGCCATGGGATTCTCCAGGCAAGAGTACTGGAGTGAGTTGCCATGCCCTCCTCTGGAGGAGCTTCTCAACCTGGGAATTGAGCCCACATCTCTTAAGTCTCCTGCATTGGCAGGCAGGTTCTTTTACCACAAACACCACCTGAGAAGTCCATAATAAAGGATATAACCAGCCAAAAGAAGAACCCCAGAGGGTGAGATCTGGGAAGGTCTCAAACTTGCAACTCCCATATCCTCAGGATGTGTCACCCTTCCAGCTTACTGCTGTGCATCACCCACCGGCCTCCTGTCCAGAGCTTTTATTGGGATTTCACGATGTAGCCTTGATGGACTGAGTTTAGTCATATGACCAATGATTCCATCATTACCCCTCATCTCCCCAGAGGTGGTGGTCAGGGTGATACTGTGTTGCTTAAAGTCCCAGCCAGCCCCATCCTGAATCTACCTACTGGGCCCATTAGACTTTGTTGGCATAAGCTACTGTGTGGCCACCGTAAATAACAGACACTTGTGTGATCACTTGGGAAATACTAAGGGGTTTAAAAGTTCCTAGGAACTGAGGACAAAGATCTAGCAAATATCTTAGTTTTCAGCAGTGGGTGAGGTTCCAGGACTGGGTTTCATCCAGTGGCCAGCTACTGGGAGTTGAAAGACACACGCAGTCTAGGCCCTGGGAGGCGAGGAGTGCAGCTTCAGGGGACAATTTTGGGAACTAGTAACTAGTTCATGGTCAGGTGTGGAGTCTGCAGTGGCTGAGAGAGCTGGGCCAGACTGATGCCAGGACGTTCGGTCAGGGGGCGTCCAGACAACTTTATGGATAGCTCCTGATCTTGAGGTCTCCTGCTTTTGCCACATGGTACCTAGTTGTTTCACTTTGTTTAAAAGCACCCTGTTTAGAGGAACAGGCTGAAACCTCCCCCTTGCAGATTGCACATTCCCTCCATTAAGGTTTATTTTTTCAGGAGTGCTGGTAAACCTGACCTTATCTAGTGATAGGTTCATCTCCCTTTTGACTGGTGGCCTCGGCTCAGCGAATGGCCAGCTGGTCAGTAGCGATTGTCCTCCACTAAGCCTGTATACTCTTAAGTGCTTAAGCTCCCATTTCCAGATTGCAGCTGTCAGAGGGCTGTCATCCAATCCCCACCTTCCAAAGTGCTGTGGGGATTTCAGAAAGTGTATGGCGCTCAGCATAATGCTTGGCACAGAAGGGTCCCTTGGAAATGTCCCTTGCAAATTAGCGGCTGTCCTTGCACTGCCGCTCTTCTGTGGTTTGATGTTTATTGTTATTCCTGGTCCCCTGTCTGTCACCTAAGATGAAACACTGTCTGTAAAATGCTCAAATACCCGGCCCAGGATACAAGAACCAAGACTTTAAAACTGAACAAAAGTCACATTGGTCCACAGGTTGGCTTTTGTGTATACAAGTACACACTAGCCCTTGGAATCTTGCCAGCATCCTTAGGAAAGTTATTGGGTTTTCTTGGTCCAGTTAGAGGAGCTGGGGCATGTCATCACAGCCCCAGTGAGCCCAGTCTGTGGCTTGGGGGCAGGGAAGGGCCAGGTCCTGTTCTGACAGCCACCCCCCTACACACACATACCACATCTCTGCCCCCAGCTGTGCCACCCATGCTCTTTTGAAGCCTAAAAACAAATGATTCAATTTCTTTCTTTTTTTTGTTTACTTATTTGGCTGTGCTGGGTCTTATTGCTGCATGTGGGGTCTTTTAGTTGCTGCATACAAGATCTTTAGTGCCACCTGTGGGATCTAGTCCCTGACCAGAGATCAAACACAGGCCCCCTGCATGAGGTGTGCAAAATCTTAGCCACTGGACCATCAGGGAAGTCCCAAGATGACTCCATTTATTTCTAAATGAGTCTCCAGAGGAGAAATTTGCACCAATGGCCTATGAAGGTTATGCTTATAAAAATACCTCCAAAAATAAAAATGAGTCTCTTTCAGTACCTTAAACCCACCTTCTAGGGGAAAGCAGAGCAAATGGCTTGCAAGAAGCACAGAGCCTGGTTGGAGAGATGGGGCTGAAGTTGGTTGGTGGAGAGACAGCAGAAGGGGCAGGGGTTGTGTGCCAGGCACTGTACCAGACCCTTCCCATATGGTGTTTAACTCGCCTTCACAGTGCACATGCCTTCTCACCCTTAGACCTTTGTACAGGCTGTGCCCTCTGCCTGGAAGCCTCCTCATTCCACCCCCTCCTCACCCTGCAAGAGACTGAATTCTTCTCCAGGGCCTAGACATGTCTGAGAAGTCTTCTCTGATGCCAAGGCTGGGTTAGGAGCCCTTCTTAGGTGCTGTCGCACTCAGCTATTGCTACAAACAAGCCACCCTGAAACGAAGTGACTTAAAACACTGCCATTTTTCTATTCTCTCTGGCAGATGTACAGATCCACTGAGTCCCACGAGGCAGTCCTCACTCAGTCCCTCCTGCAGTTGTAGCCATATGGCCGCTGGGGCTTGAAGGACCTAAGGCTTAGTCACTCCCAGGTCTGGCTCCTGAGCAGAAATCAGCCAGACTTTTTGGGATCTGGAACACCCCTTTCTACTTCTATGTGGTCTCACCATGCAGTCTGCCAGGCATACAGCCTCAAGATACCTTCTCACATAGAGGCTGAAGACATCAAAGGCATGCATACTAAGAGAGAACCAGGCAGAAGCTGAATCATTTTCCATTACCAGAAATCAGGCAGCATCACTTGTCCCCCAGTTCTTTACTTTGAGGCCATTGCCTTCTGATGACTCTTTGACTCCTGAGTTTCATTTCAGGGCTGTAAGAATGCAGAGGAAAGTTGATGAGCACACAACCATCCCTGGAGGGCTTCTGGGAGGAGGTGGTATTGAGGTTGGCCCTTGAAAAAAGGGCTAGGATTTAGATGGAGGGGAGGAGGGAGGAGGCAAACACAGCCAGTCCCTGCAGGCAGAGCATGAGAGGCTGGAGCTGTGAGGAAGCTAGCCAGGTGGCAGCCAGAACTCTGTGCCAGGGAGATGGGGGATTTGTCTGGGAGGGAAGTACCTCCCCACCCTGTGGAGGGTCTAGAAATAGAGAAGGTGGACCCTGGTCTGGGGAAGAGTCAAAGGAACAAAGTAATCTTTGTTCCTCAAGGTTATTTGTCATTATTACTTCTAAAGTAATTTAGTAGTAATGTCAATAGTTAACATTTGTGTCCTAGCACCATTGCCTTGAGGATGTGGTTGTTACTGTTCAATCGCCAAGTTGTGTTCAACTTTGTGTCCCCATGGGCTGTAGCCCACCCGGCTGCTCTGTCCATGGGATTCTCCATGCAAAAATACTGGAGTGGGTTGCCATTTCTTTCTCCTGAGGATCTTCCTGACCCAGGGATCGAACCTACACCTTGAACCTGTACTGGCAGGTGGATTCTTTACCACTGAGCCACCTGGGAAGCCCCACCTTGAGAATAACCATCCATAATGAATACATTTCACATCTCATCAGATGTTGGTTTGAAAGGACTCTTCTTGGTTCCCATGACTTTTCAGTTCCAGAGGCTGAGCCAGTTCATATGGCTCATGTAGCCTCTTCCTGGAACTCTTCTCTTTATTTAATCATGCAAAGGAGTTATCACTTACCATCTCTTACTGGCTTCCTTACTTTCTCATCTGCCAAAGTAAAAGATGCAGTTTCTTTGTCCTTTTCAGGGGTTCATCTTTCTCCGAGGAGCATCAGGGCAGCTGTGGCCACTGTGTGGGGGCATCTAGTACCTGGTGCGATACAATTCTGACACCAATTGCCCAGCATTAGGTCAGATTTCTGGGTAAGGGCACAGTCCCCTACTAGACTGCTCTTATTATAAATGATAAGATGCCTGCAGCCATATCACCTCATTAGACTTTCACTGCATAGCATGGTTATAATCATTCCCATTTTGCTTAGGAAGCCTCACCCCAAACCGCTTAGCTAGTTAGCAGTGGAGACAACATTCAGGCCCAGTTTTTTTCTGACCTCAGGACCTTAGCTCTTTCCCCCATCATCTTGCTATCACTTGAGGTGCTTTTTAAGGAGGCTGGCACCACCATTCTTTCATCCTTTCATTCACTTACTCGCCAGCGCCTGCTCTGGACTGCATACATGTTATTAAAGCTTCTCTGAGGACTGTCTAGGGGAACTCATGAGCACTCCAGCCTGCAGAGTGTCTGTCTTTGGAGAATTTTCATCATTCATCTCTCCAACCTCATGTAAATATAATTTGTGACACAGTTTCAAAGCCCATGTAGCCTTCTGCAGGTTTCTCTCTCCTGTCTGTACCTATATTTCCATAATCCAGTCGTGTTTATAGAAATGGAATTCTAGTGTGTGGGGTAACTTTGACTAGAAGTGCATTGGTTGGGAACACATTTTTAATTTATATCATTTTCTTTTCCTAATAAATCTGTCAACTTGTTTATTAGGGAATCTGTGGCATTCTTTTTCTACCACCCTAAACATAGTCACATAAAATTAGTCATAAGACGCTGGTTGAAATTGCAGGGGGGTTTTCCATTTTGATTCCAAAAAGAGATTTTTTTCTATTTGTCCTTCTGATTTTTTATGTATCTGGCAAAGAAATGTATACAAATATAATAAAGGAAAGGAAAAAATAGAGAATACATTTTTGTGTTATATAGTGAGAGTATAGTTCTATATTCTGCTTTTTAAGGTTATCTTTTTAAAAAGTGAAGTGATTCTCAAGAGATTAAGCAGCATTGTCTTCTGCTTATGGATTGCAGTTATCTGCTTATGCAGTTGCGATTATCTTCTTCCTCCGACCCCTCTTTCTCAGGCACAGCACACCCACGATGCCATCACGGAGGCCGCCCAGCTCATGAAAGAGGCCGTGGACGACCTCATGGTCACGCTGAATGAAGCTGCCAGTGAAGTGGGGCTGGTGGGAGGTATGGTTGATGCCATCGCAGAAGCCATGAGCAAGGTGGGTCTGGGCTCCCAGATGCCCTCCTGCACTCCTTAACTCCATTTCCTCCAAGATCTCCCTCGAAATTGGTCCCAGAGCCTTTTCTCTAAGGAGCTGGCAGTCCAGGCTGACACCACCAAGCCTCCTCTTTTCTCGAGGGGTCTGCTTAATGTACAAATATTCTATCAAACGTCCAGCATACTCTTAATTCTTTATTACTCATTCATTACTTTTGTAAGCTGGACATACCCTTCCTTTCACATTTATACAGGGGGACAATGGAAAAGGCATCCTTGGTCCCCTCACTTATAAGATGAAAATGAAAAAAAAGAAAGTCTAGTCGCTCAGTCGTGTCCAACTCTTTGCAACCCCATGGACTTAGCCTACCAGGCTCCTCCGTCCATGGGATTTTCCAGGCAAGAGTACTTGAGTGGGTTGCTATTTCCTTCTCCAGAGGATCTTCCCAACCCAGGGATCAAACCCAGGTTTCCCGCATTGTAGGCAGACACTTTACTGTCTGAGCCACCAGGCAAGTCCTATAATTACTTATAAGATGGAAGTTATTATTTACCTTCCCTGTCCACCTCACAGATTTGTTGTGGGGAACAGACTCCAAAATGAGGTAATGAAGTGATTCCCAAGTGCTGGTCTTCAAAACGGCTCCTTTGGAATCCCTGGGAGCATTTTAGAATGTACATCCCTTGACTCTATCCCAGCCTTAATCCCTTGGAATCTCTGTGGGGTGGTGGATTTTGTATTTTTTTAATTTAATTTAATCTATTTTACTTTACTTATTTTTAACATGGATCCTAGTATTTAAAAAATCTCCCCATGGTTCTGGCATATAACCCAGTGCAGAGACCACTGAAATGGTAAGTGTTAAACCCTCAGGGAACAGCAGACAGATGTCAGAGGTATCATTTCTTCTCCAGTGACCCTTCAATTGAGTTGGGTCAGTAGGAAAGGATGACTGGGCAGTATCTTGTGCTCTTTCCCCAAGGAATCCTTCCCTAGTCATGCCAGTTGCTACTCATTAGAATGAACAACTCTTCATCAGCATCTAATTGCTGTTCTCTGATAGCATAGCCAAGAAATGTAGACTTCATCTGTGTTTTGAAATGTCCATTGTCAGATGGTGAATACACTAATGGAGTTTTTCAGGATAATAAGTGGTCTTTAATTGCTAATTTAGAGAAGATTGGTTGGTGGGTATCTCTGTAAAGAGATGATAGCCTACAACTATCATTAGGATAATTCCCATTAAACATTATGCAGACATTGTCAGACTGATAACGTCCCAAGCTGGGCTGGGATCCCTCAGAGACCCCAGGCTTGCCTTGTCTAAGCACTCCTGTAGTTTTTGCTGTAGGCTTCTCATGCTTCAGCTTTGGATAGTTTTGCAGAAAATGAATGGAATTCTTCACTTCCTCAAGGCCCTTAGTTAAGTCTTAGTGGGTTTGTTTGATTTTTATAAAATCAGAACAACAAAGCTTTGAATTTAAGCCCTGTATCTACCAAAGATATTAAATAATGCAACTCAAGGTACAAATTAGAAAGTCAAATGATAATCTTTTCCTTCTTAGGTGGTGCTTTTCACCATCACTCTTCTTCTAGGGAAGAGTTGCATAAATTCCTGAAAGAGGGAAGTCTTTTTTTGATGGCCTTTGAGCCTTTCGTATTGTGATAGCTCTTCAAGAAGGAAAGTGGTTCTTGTACTGTCTGATTTCAGGGGTATAAAAGCTGTGCTCTCAGCCCAGGACACACTGGATTCTTTTGGAAGTACTAGGGAATAGGCCTGGTGTTACCTGAGGGCAATAATTAGGAACTGCTAATAACATGAGCCCCAGAGGCTATGAGCAGAGGGTTTTTTCCCCTCAGTTCTGCAAGGTATATACAGTAAGTCCCCTGTATATGAATGAACCTTCAAGTCTCAAACATGCATCTGTTTCCAGCAAGGAACCAGAACCTGTGCCATCAACATCATGCATAAGTGAAATTGCAGCTTGCCCTCCATCTCTTAACTGCTAATGATCCTTCAGCTCTACCATCTCCTACCTCCTCTCTCTCCTCCAGTAGTAACTCTTCTTGCCTATTCACTCGATGCCAGCCCTGGTATACCAGCTGTTATAAAGTACTACTGTACTTTTCTAGATACTGTGCTGTAAGATTTTAAATGTTTATTTTTTGTTTTTATGTATTATTCATGTAAAAAGTATTATAAACCTATTACAGTGTATAGTACCATATAGTTGATTGTTAGTTGTTACAAAGGCTAATTTTGTTGGACTTAAAACAAGCTGGACTTACAAACATGCTCTTGGAGTAGATTTCCTTCATATGTAGGTGACTTACTGTAATTGGGATTTCGCTGATACTCCTAAACTCCTGTCTACCCTGACCTTACATCCCAGGTACCACACAGTGTCTCTTCTCTTTGCTAAGCCCACCCCAGCCTGCTCATCACTGGGAACTCTGTATTAAGTGGTATCTCAGGTCATTTGAGCACCTAAGCAGCAACACATTATAAATATGTCATCTTCTGAGTTTAGGTTATTTGGTTAAAACACTGACATACTATTAGAATCATTGTCTGAAGTTCCAAAAGGCAGTGAGTGGCAGAAAAAATCCAGTGTACACAAAGTTAATTCTAACCTGGGTGCAATTCTCGCCACTTTTAGAGCCTCTGCTCTGGAAGATCTCTTTGAGACTGTTCTCTCTGTATATAAGCACCAGAAGATATGGGAATTAATAGGTTAGTGAAAGTGAAGTTGCTCAGTCGTGTCCTACTCTTTGCGACTCCATGGACTATAGCCCACCAGGCTCCTCCATCCATGGAATTTTCCAGGCAAGAGTAGTGGAGTGGGTTGCCATTCTTCTCCAGGAGATCTTCCTGACCCAGGGATCGAACCTGGGTCTCCCGCATTGCAGGCAGATGCTTTACCGTCTGAGCCAGGGGGAAGCGGTTACCATGAAGTAATAAGCTTTCTGGGTAACTTTGGGCAAATTGCTCAAGCTTTCTAAATCTTGTTTTCCCCCATTCAACGAGCTTAGTCTCAGTCTTTGGGATTTTATGACCAAATCCCTTTTCTTTGTTTGCTTTTGTGTTTGGAAGATTTTTTTTTTTTCTTTTTGATCAAGGAAGGTAGTTAAAGAAACAAAACAAACAAAAACCTTGGTATCTACATCAGCAGTATTCCATAAAATAAAGGCCATGTTAACACCGAAAAAAAAGTAGAAAGGCTATAATTTCAGAATGAAGGAAAGTTCTTTCAACTAAAGGAATTTTAAATCCTATTTTTTTAAAAAGTTACTACTTTCTTCTTACGGCTCTCATTGTCTTCACACTGGGAAAATGTTCATCATGGCAGCCCATGGCCGCTGTGTTCTAAGATGCCCTCTAGCTCCAACATCCTGCACGTTTGCAGTTACACCACATCTCATATGGAGGTTCCCAGCACATGGCCTGACCCTTGTGAGATGCCCAGTTTATTTATACTGAGTGTGAGAGTCCACACATCGATCCTCATTTGACCAGTGAGGCCCCCTATCTCCTGATAAAGAAACATAAAAAAATCTATCCTGGAGTTTGTGTTGGTGGTTTGGTAGAGATTACATCCAGTTTATGCAAGCACATTATACTAGGCTACAGTGACACATTCATTCAACTCACATTGTAGCTGGGATCTGCTCGTGATATGTAGCTCTCACTGAAGATGCCATCTAAACTTTTTCCTAATTGCTCTGTGGTCCCTAGTATATTCCCAGACTAAAGACTGTCTACCAGAGAGCTGCCAGGGAGATCTTCTCAGATAGATCATTGCCTACTGCAGATCCCACCATTTTCTTCATGATTGCAACGTTCTTCATTAAATAGATCCAGCCTGATTCCCACCCCCTCCACAGCCCTCTCCTGTTCACTACTCTCACTCTTCCTGTATTCATTTCTGTTCACCTTGTCTCCTCACCTAGATTACCATTTGGCAACCAGTGGTGATAGTCATGATGACGGTGGTAGTGAGGATGGGTTGCCTTCCTCATAACCATCATGGACTTTATCACCATCATCATCTTCATTATTGTGGTTATCCTTTCCAGTCCATTCATGTAGATGGGATAGCGTCTCAGTTGATCTTTTTTATAACCTTATGATGAGCTTCAAAATTTCCAATGAAAGACCAGAGAACCAGTTTAAATACCCAACTTGAGGCCCATTCACTAGTCTTGAAACCAGGTCTCAAATCAAGTCTTCCAAGCCAGTAAAATCCCCAGCCCTTCAAGGGGCAGACCCACAACCCACTTCTCTACCCCTTCCACTCCACACTGATCTCTCAATTCTGTGATGCTAGGGTCAGATAAACAAGTTCTTCCTATGTTTCTACCGCCTTCTCTTCCCCAAGGTAGATCAGAAGTGAGGGTTCTAGGGCAGAGACATCTTTGGGCTACCCCATTCCTAGGAAAGCCCTTCGTGATGGAGGGTCTGCGTCCTCCCCCAGCTCTTTGTCCGCCATTCTAACTTTCCCGCATGTGTCCGATTCACACCCACCTCCCGTGTGCTTGAGTGCTGTTCCCTCTCCTTGAGACTCCTTCCCCACCCTTTGTGTATGGCAAACCCCTTACCTGGTAAGACTTGACTGGAGCACCATTCCTCCGGACAGCCCTGCCACTCTCCTCCAACAAATGGGGGCTTCCCCTTGTCTGTGTGCCCTGAGTACCTTATGTGCATCTCTATCACAGGAGTCCCTATCACAGAAGCTGGGGTATTCTGTTGACTCTGGACCAAAAAACTCTGCAGGCCTCTCCATTTTTCCAAGTTACTGATTCTGAAAAATGAAGCTCACGTTGAACAGGCCTCTGATGACCCATGGGCTTTTTTCCTCTCTCCTGTAGCTGGATGAAGGTACTCCTCCAGAACCAAAGGGGACGTTTGTCGACTATCAGACGACGGTGGTTAAATACTCCAAAGCTATTGCGGTAACAGCTCAGGAAATGGTAAGAAGGAAACGGGCTGCTCCACCACTGCTGGTTGCCCTGTTACCCACCACACCACTGGCTCTTCAGCTCTGGGGCCTGTGGTGGAGAGAGATCAGTCCTCTTTGTTTCTAGTTCCTCCAGGCCGCAGCTTTGTCCCGATCTGTGGTCTTTCTGGCCGCCTGTGGTCTCAGGCCCCAGGCCACTGGACACAGGCCACAGTGGACACTCTGCTCGTGAAAACGCTCCAGATTAAAATGACTAAGAGTTGGGCATGAGGACAGGGAAGCAAAGGAAAGGGAGGAAATAAAGAAATGAGAAGGAAGTTGCGAGTTACAGAGAAAGAGCAAAATCCTATTTATCTCACAGAAAACTTGAGATGTTTTTAACGATTAAAGTTACAGTACAAGAGAAGGCTTTTGGAGACAAAACTGAGATTGTTTGATGGAATCAAATTTTAATGTTTGGACAGTGCTTATAATGAGTAGTACAATATTGACAGTCTTTCAGGCAAAATGAAATGCTGTGGTTATATGAAAAATTTTTTCTCCTGGCAACAGAAGGCCTGTAACTTTGGAGGTGGCTTTTTTGTTTTGTTTTTTTCCTAAAATGTAATGTATTCAGAATTGTATTATATGGATATTTAGCTATAAATGGCATTGAGATTCAGTGAATACTGTCTTGATAGGGTTAAAAAGTTGCACAAGGAAAGAAAAGTACTGTCCTCAAAGCATTAATATGAAGACCTAGTAAGAAAGTTCTTAATCTCTGAAAGCTCAGATGTCACAGGATAAAATTAAGAGATGGGCTCTTAGATGCTGCCACCTAAACCTGAGTTGCAGGGACCAGACTGGGCCACCGCATGGTCCCTGCCCCATCAGGCTAGGCACCTCTCTTGATGGTTTTGTCATGTAGTCATGTGTCCACTAGAGGTTGAGCTTGGACCACAGAGGCTCCCTTGGCGGCAGCTGTTCATTCTTAGAAACTCTGCAGATGTGCCAGGCTCGATGTTGTTGAAAAGAACTTGGACTGCAGAGGAAGGAACAGTGCCCATCTCGGCGAGTGGGAGAGGGCTGGAGTCGGCCCTGAGCTGGCCCTGCTCAGGAGCGCTTAGGGGCATCATGGCTCAAATCCGGCCACCCAGCAGCGCTGACTCCTCTGAGCAGGGAGCGCAGTGCAGGAGGGGTGAAAATATCTTCAGTGGCCTCAGGAGTTTCTGGAGGAAAGTTCCTCAGCCCGCCCGTCTTGACCGTCGTGTCCACGCACCTAAGGAGCCCAGTATTGCTGCTCCTGGGTGGGCTGGCTGGAGCCTTGAGGGGTGAAGCGCCCTGGGGGGTGAGAGCCCCCCTACACCGACGGCCCCCAGGGTCATTGTGCTCCTCATGGCAGGGTCATGTGGAGCAGCTTTGGGCACAGCCTTGTTCTCTCGGCATGCAGTGTGTATTTCCTGCAAACCCACACCTCCACCCGAAAGCTTATGACATTTCCTGGTAAACATGCCTTAGATGGGCCCACGTTCCTGTCCAGCTTGAGTGGTTGTATAGTCATTTAACAGATTTTTTTTTTTCAAGTCCTTTAAAATCAAGGACTTCAAATGCCACAAAGAGTGAGGAAGTATTGTCACCCAGAGTGAGAAAACAGGGGGACGGAGGGAGGAGGCCTTGGATCCAAGACAGACATGGACACCTATGTCGGCGGCAGCTTACAACTGCCTTTGTGAGACCTAAGAGGCATTTTTGTTGGAGGAGAAAAAAACTAGAAGCAAGCACGTTAGCTCTGTAGAGTACAGTGAGGTGAGTTTTTCTATGAAGCGGAAGAAAACTATAGAATATCTTCAGAGTGAAAAAGGCAGAACTTGACCATTTAGGCTACAGTATTCTCCTCAGTGAATTTATGACTGAAACGTCGTTATTCTTCAGAGCAGTGTTATCGCAAAGCTGTATTCTGTGAGTTCCTTCCACCAAAAATGTTAGACTTACTCATCGCCACAGGCACGATTTCCTGATGATCCTGGCCTCATGGCCTCTCTCGGTGGCATGGCACCTGCTCCTGGGTCCCCAGAGACCAGGCCAGCCTGGGAGCAACGTACTACCTGGGGCACACCCTGCCCAGGGCTGGGCTCCCTTGGGGTTTCTCTGGGGGGCTCCCCTGGTGACCCCGCAGGGCAGGGCTGGTGGAGGCTACCGCTCTCACCTCCCGGAGAGTGGCCCCCGTGGCCCAGCCTCCACACTGCACAGCCTGAACCCGAGCATGTCGCCTTGACCCGGCCAGGACCCGCTGGCCTATCGTGTGGGCTGCCGCATGGGCTTTGCTTGAACTGGGCTCTCCAGCGTCCAGCCCCCACACGCAAGCCACACAAGCTTAAAAGTGAATGAGACCCTTTGGCTCCCAGTGGTATTAACACGTGGTTCTCATGCTTTTCTCTGTGTGTCTGTGTGTGTGTGTGTGTCTTGCTTGTTTTCTTTTTCCAGATGACTAAGTCGGTTACTAACCCGGAGGAGTTGGGAGGACTGGCTTCACAAATGACCAGTGACTATGGGCACCTGGCTCTCCAGGGCCAGCTGGCAGCAGCCACGGCGGAACCAGAGGAGGTCTGCCACCTTAAGTCCCTGTTTTTAGACGCAAACCCACACTAGTGCCCGCTCCCCCGGCCGGGCGATGGTGGGGGTGGGAGGGGCGGGCGGTCTCCATAGCTCAGCTCCACTCCAGAACATCCCACCCCGTAGCCGCAGCCAGGCATAGTTCCCTCTCCTTTGCTGCCAACCCCACAGGTTCATACCCAGTAGCCCCAGCCTGTGCTCCAGGCTCGCTGCCCTTCCTAAGGCTGCCGGGCATAGAGCCGGAGCCACCTGGGGAGGTGGGCTTTCCGACAGGACTCTGTTGACAGTTTCCTGCCAGGTCTCCTGTCCCCCAGCCCATCACCTGATGCTAAGAGCAGGACACACATTGCCATTCTCCTCTTACTTCCTATGCTTGCTTAGCAACCCACTCGATTATTTGTATATTTTCCAAAGGTTCACAGAAGTATTAGACAAGCCAAGTATGGGACCTACCCGCCCCCTCCCTTGAGAAAAGGCTGTGTAGCCAGCCGGCTTTTATGAAACAAAGTCTTGCCCAAATATTGTTGGTGGCTTTTGAAGAATTGGTCCAGATCCCTGTCCTTGGATCCCTGTGGACTTCTTGTCCTTCCCTCCCTGTCTTCCCTAAGCCACTTTCCTTAACGGCCAACACAGACTTACCTCGAAACACCTATACCCGTAGGAGGCTTAAACTGGCAAAAGATTGACTCTAGAGGCCACTCTCTGAGAGGTCCCATATCTCATCCTCTGAGAAATCAAATGGTCCCTTGACCAGCACACAGGGTGGGTGGAACTCTGGGGCCCCTGATTCCACCTGTATCAGTGTTAAACACATGGAAGGGGCCTGACCCAGTGTGTGGCCCCCTAGAGAAAGACAGACCAGCTTGCAGTAAAGAATAGTAAAGTGAATTTCAGGGACCCAGGGAAAACAAGGTAACAACATCCGTGGGATTCTGCCAGGAGGGCAAAACCCTGTCCATGATGTTCTGAGATGTACCAGGCTGTCAAGGAAGAAGGTTGTGGCTGGTCTTCCCTTCTCCTTTCAATGACAGACAGTGTCCCCAGGTTACTGTTTCTCCTGGGAGTCAGGTCTAAGCATGTCTTCACCAAGACTCCCAGCAACACTACCGAAGTGAAGACCCAGAACCAAATCACTTTCTAACGTATGTTGTAACAATGCATGTAAATGGGAATACCACATATATATGTACTTGCATACATATATATTCAGCATGGGATGACTTTAGTGTCTAACAGTGCCTGCGTTTTGAGATTTTAGGATGATTGAGTTTTTAGACTGCAGCATGAATAATTCTATTTGCCATGAGTCTGTCAAGTCACTACCAGGAAAGAAAAATGATCAGAGACCCACATAAGATTCCATTGATTTCTTTACACAGGCCCATCATTTAAAAAACAAAAAACAGACCCCCTCCTCCTTTAGTAAGAGTAACTGGCCTCATAATTTATGTGATTAACATGCAATTTTGAATTTCATAGACAAGCATAAGGGAACTTCTGTTACAGTAAGGGAAAGCTTGGTTGGACAAAAGGAAGAAGTGTTTGGCTTTTCAAGAGGATTGAAAACTAAAAGAGACTATGATTTTGGGGAAAGGTTTGGATCTCTCATCTCCAGAAATCTTTAAAGATGAAATTTCCATGAGTTTTCTTTGGTTAGTTTCAGTGCTGCTAGCCTAGCTGCATTGCTGAGTGAAGACCTTGTGATCTATAGAGCGCTTTCCACATCTGAGTTCTTATGAGCTAGCAACCCCACCCTGTGTATGAAGCAAACAATTTTCTAATTGCAGCCCAGACCACTGAAACAAAATAGGCCAGGAAAAAAATTGCATTGCTAAAAGCAAAGCAGCAAGCTCCTTTACATCCTGGCTGCCTTTGCGGCAGCTGACGTTTCCATTAAGGTTTCCCCTGTTCACCGTTACATCTTGAGATGTGTTTTACATTCCAGACACACGAGCAGTGTGACCTGGAGCGCAGAGGGGCAGAGAGGATATAAAATTACCAGTGGCTTGCTCAAGGAAAATTCTTTGTGTGCATTTGCCAGACAGATATTTGGGGGAAAACTGAGAAGTTTAGGAGATCCCTGAAGCAATGTAGTTTTTTTTTTTTTCCCAAGACTGTGGAATTATGTGTATACCCAGGAGAGCCCCACATCACAGCATGTGAAAATATTTATATCCAGGGCAAGTAAGAAGCTGCCCTCTTCACTGCAGGCCTACAGTCTGTTCTGCCGAGTCAGCATTTTGGTCTTTTCCGGAGTGTGACAATGACAGGAAAAGTCCTGGCTCTGCCCTCTGAACATCGAGCTGGAGCTTTGTATCTGCTAGTTTTTCCATGGAAAATTCAAAACTTTTGCTAACATCACTGTGATAGCTTCTCCAGAAAAGTTAAAACCCTCTGGCAGCTTGGCATTTTATGATGCATTTCCTCTTTTTAAAGGGACTTCCCTATAGCTCAGATAGTAAAGAATCTGCCTGCAATGCAGGAGACCCGGAAGAAGATCCTCTGAGAAGGGAATGGCAATCCAGTATTCTTACCTGGAGAATCCCACGGACAGAGGAGCCTGGCGGGCTACAGTCCATGAGGTTGCAAAGAGTCAGACACAACTGAGCGACTAACACTACACTACTACTACACTTCCTCTTTTTAAAAAAAAGAAGGAAAAAGATACAAATCCCATGAGCCACAGGCTTCTAAATGTAAATACTGGGGAAAGGTTTAGTGATGATGGTGCCATGTCTGAGAGCACGTTGCTGTAACCACTCATAACACTGGGTGTCTTAAAAACTGGCAGGGACATTTGTCAAGAGCCTGTGGTGAGAACCACAGCCCTCTCCCCCAGATGGGATGGGCATCCACTCTAGACGTCTCTAAAACTTTCCAGTCCACTTTCTGTAGGTAGGAAAGCAATGCCCTGCTTCTGCTCTGCATGCTGGTTTTCCCCGCCATGTTTTCTGTCTCAGGAGAAACTGTAGTTTGCCAGATAACATCCATTACTGCCTTTCCAACTTCCACAAGCTCTCCCAGGCAAATTATACTTGACCTGGTTTCCGATGTAATTGATCTTGAAGCCTGAGAAAAATCTGTACGTTTTGTTTAGTTTGAGGCAGTAAAAGATGATGGATCAGTGTTTCTTAGACTCCCTCCAATTGAAATAAGAGCCAGAACTTCATGAAAGCCAGGCTTCTAATTTCCCGCAAGGCACAAAACCAGGAGACAATCTTCTCCATTTTACTTTTATTTGGGCAGGATGGGGGAATTGAGGGTTTTTCTTGAGGTTTAAGTATTGCTTGACTCAAGTTGCCAATTTCAAACTCCAAGTTTTATGTTTTGGAGCAACATTCCTTTATAATAAACACTGGCAGTGAGTTGGATCACTGGGGGTGGAGGGGGATGGGGGTGGAAGGGGTTAGTCCTGTTTGCTGAGAAGTTTAGTGTTGCTTTGAGAAGCTTAGCATATTTAAAGCCCTTATCTGAAACAGCCTTTCAAAATGCATTCCCTTTTAGGATGTTCCTCCAGCAGTACAAAACATCCTGTGAAACTGCAGTAGCGTTGAGTGTGTTGATTCTGGTGTCCTTCACTAACCCATGTGCCCGTGGAGACGGATAGGAATATGCGAACCATTTATTCAATCCATACGGCACAGATGCTGTGCTGGGCTCTGGCCCATCTTCCCTCAACTGCAGTGTGTGAGGCGAGAATTGTTTGCCCTTCCCATTTGATAGATAAACAAACCAAGGAGACTCAGGGAACTCTGAGAAATGCCCACACAGCTGCAATAGTTAGTGTTGAACCTGCCCTCCTTTTAAAATTTGACCTATTTATGGCTGGACTGGGTCTTCATTGCTGCACACAGGCTTTCTCTAGTTGCAATGAGCAGGGCCACTCTGGAGATGCAATAAGCAGGCTTCTCATTTCCATGCCTTCTCTTGTTGAGAACAGGGCTCTAGGTGCACAGGCTCAGTAGTTATGGCACAGGGGCTTAGTTGCCGGGCAGCAGGTAGAATCTTCCTGGAGCAGGGATCGAACCCATGTCCTCTACATTGGCAGGTGGATTCTTAACCACTGAAACACCAGGGAAGTCCCAAGCCCCGTTTTTAAATAACTTTTTGGAGTAAGTGAATGTTTCAAGTATAATAAGAAGGTATCAAGACATTGTGTAGACAGAAAAATCAGAATTCAAACCCAGGTTTATTGGGGATCACAGTCTGTGCTGTTTGCCCTGATAGTCATGTGACCTAGCACAGACCCAGACTCCAGGACCAAGCCCAGGGTTGACTAAGGACTCCAAAGCTTTTCTGTTGTTGAATTTATTTGGTCTCATCCTTTGCTTTCTGGTTTTGGTCTTCCTCGGGCTTCCTAACTGAAACTGCCCACTGGTGACTGCTGTGCCAGCCCCATGGTTGTGTTTAGAGGATTGCTTGTTACAAACATGATGTCATCTTCAGGAAGGAGGCTGAACATCAGGACGTTAGGGTGTGTTTTTATAGCACAGCCTTCTGAGGGGGCTAAGAGAACATGAGTGGGTAGTGGTGGCAGGGCGGGGGATGTCTTCCCACCATGTATCATGTCGGCCCATAGATTTCAGGTTTGGAACAGCTCAGGAGTGGGTGCCTCCTCCCTCCCACCCCCAGGTGACTGGGGAGTGATTTCGGTGGCCTGTATTGTCCCAGTGCCCTGTTATTCTGCAAACAGAAAGCCCGGGCTCAACTCCATGCAGGGAGCAGGAGAGGTGCCTAGACAAGGCTTTTCCGGAAACCAGGTCTTTTCCGGCACAGTAACTTCATACCACATTGTCTAGAACCCACACCCAGCCGGTCCTCTGGAAGTTCTGCACATGTTTGACTGAGTTTCCCTTTTTAAACATACACTGCACCCCCCACCCCCGCCTTGCCCTGGGGCATGGGTGGCTTTGTGCTGGCCTCCAGCTGGCATAGCATCTGCTCTGTCTGGTGTGGCCAGGGATCTGTGAGAGAATGCTTCCCTTTTGCTTTATGCACAGACCAGGATCCTCCACACCATGCAACCAGGGCAAAATACAGAAACAGGTTGGTGGCCAAGGCTGTAACTGGCCTTTATAATCCCATCTTTGGATTACTTAGCCTCAACTGTTGACTTTAACTCCAAAGAAAGAGTATAGTAATAACAAGTTCCTTAAGTTTTAGATGTTGAGTTTCCATGAAAGATTTTATTGGGGAGCGGGAAAGGGTTCTGCTGCTAAGTGGGAAAAAAAAAAATCAAATTAGAAAAACACTGATCTAATGAACAGTGTACCGTGCTTGGAATGAAAGACTTAGACTGTCATCTGGCTTTGTGAGGGATTGGCTGTGTGATCTTGGGCTAATCACAGCATTTCTCTGGGCCTCAGTCTCCTCATCTGTAAAATGGGAAGACTGGACCCATAAGGTCTTGTTTAATTTTGATTGTTTCTTTCTCCATCCCCCCTTACTTGACTTCCCTGTTAGTATCTTGCCCCTTAAAGACCTGTGCTCATCCTTGACAGCAGAGCTCCTACCTTTGGGTTAGCTCTGACTCTTTTCTTTTTCATTTTAATTTTTTAAATTTATTTATTTTTGGCTGTGCTGGGTCTTCTTTGCTACACACAGGCTTTCTCTTGTGGTGCACTGGCTTCTCTTGTTGCAAAGCATGGGCTCTAGGGCTCAGTAGCTGTGGCACACAGGTTTCGTTTCTCCTTGGCATGTGGAATCTTCCTGGACCAGGGATTGAGCCTGTGTCCCCTGCATGGGCAGGCAGATTTTTAACCACTGGGCCACCAGGGAAGTCCCTTGCTCTGACTCTTGAGAACTTAGGGTTACACCATATGGGTCTGAAAAGTCTCTAGAGCCAGACAGAGTAGTCTTTACTGGGGCATCCCCCCCACTTCAGCTTGACCTTATGTTTAAACCAGCAGACATGCCCAGCAAAGAGATGCGCTTAAATGGCATTGCTACTGTGTGGGCTTAATTCAAGCCTTGCTCGTTCTCGATGGTGACCTTGATGCTGCACTAATCCAGATGTGTTTGCAGAGCTATCTGGTTGCAGGATCCTGGCCTGATGCTCGTGTCTCATTCCATGTGGAGACGGTCAACAAGAAGCCCTGCCTAATTATAGAGCTTTTGTAGCACCTGCTCATGTGTGATTAGAAGACACCCCAAAGAGCAGAAGCTCACTTCCTGGGCAGGAGAATGCGTTACCAAATGGATTTAAACATCCTTTGGGCCTCAAGGGGTTAAGGGAATGACATTTTCCCCTGAAAGCATTATGTCTGTCTATAACAGAATGAGCAGTTGCAGCCTCCTCACTCCCCAGAATTGCCCTTTCATAAACTCTGACACACGGGATGATGTTGGAAGACTGCATCCAGGTAGCTCAAGTTCCCAGGTGTGTGAGTTCCCAGGTTTTACTCATAAAACCTGGACTCTCCGAGTTACTCTTCTTCAGAGATTCTGGAAGGATAAGTACCCAGCTTCTAATTGTTGTGAATTTTTTTAAAATAACACTTAGCTTAGGGGTGTTTTGTTCTGTGTTCAGTTGCTTACCTGGGCTGTATTGATCAGACCAAAATGAAGATTGTGAAATGAAGCCAGAAGAATGCAAACTTTGGGAGATGGTTTGCCGTTGTTGTTCAGTCACTAAGTTTTGTGCAGTTCTTTGCGATCCCATGGACTGCAGCACACCAGGCTCCTCTGTCTTTCTCTATCTCCCAAAATTTGTTCATTCATGTCCACTGAGTCAGTGATGCTATCTAACCATCTCATCCTCTGTCACTCCCTTCTCATTTGCCTTCGATCTTTCCCAGCATCAGGGTCTTTTCCAACGAGTTGGCTCTTCGCATCAGGTGGCCAAAGTATTGGAATTTCAGCTTGAGCATCAGTTCTTCCAGTGAATATTCAGGGTTGATTTTTACAATAGACTGGTTTGATCTCCCTGCTGTCCAAGGGACTCTCAAGAGTCTTCTCCAGCCCCACATTTCAAAAGCATCAATTCTTCAGCACTTAGCCTTCTTTAGGGCCCAGCTCTCCCATCTGTATGTGACTACTAGAAAAACCATAGTTGGGAAATGGAGATGGAAATTATTACACCACAAAGAGACAGCTGGCACCTTATCCATAGTGGAGCTTATTTGGCTTTTTTTAAGCAAATTACCATTTCTGATCACACAACCGAGGGGTCATTAAAAGCATGCATGCCTGCTGAGCCAGCAGCTCTAAAAGTGTAACTTTTTACTGAAACCTCAGGCTTGCTGGAAAGGAAGCCTGGGCCCCGCATGGCTGCTCTCGCTCCATGGTACCACTGAGGAAAAGAGGCGCTCTGGTTGGTAAACATAGCAATTTTGTAAGAATCTGAACCCTTTAAAATATGCTTTATACTAAAGCTATATATTCAGAACTTCTAATTACCCTCTCTGGGCTTTTGTGAGGAATCAATGAAATTAAATGCCTTGCCTGCTTCAAAGAGGCCCTGACACACAGGAAGGGCTCAATAAACACGGGTTGAATGAATAATCCCACAGAGTTCATCTAATTAATATTCTTACCTAGTGGCTCAGGATACAGATAAGCAATGCAGCAGAAAAGGTAATAAATATTACTAAGCTTGCTTACTGGGGACTGTGGACATTTTACAGTCTCTAAAAAGGGAAGCAAACCCAACCAAATTCCATAGTTCACCAAACACAGGCTCCTAATAGCAGTGGAATTTTCCTAGCCAGGCTCCCCTAGGACATAGGAGAAATTTTCCACGGAGGGAAGACCTCGACGGCAGGGCCATCATATTTTGCCTCCCCACCCGGACTTGCCTCCACAGATCGGCTTCCAGATTCGCACTCGGGTGCAGGACCTGGGCCACGGCTGCATCTTCCTGGTGCAGAAGGCGGGGGCCCTCCAGGTGTGCCCCACGGACAGCTATACCAAGAGGGAGCTGATCGAGTGTGCCCGCGCTGTCACAGAGAAGGTAAGGAGCAGCCCTCAGGCCAGGCAGGCACGATGACACCCAGCTCTGCCCAGGTGTTTTCTGACCAGGAAACCAAGCCCAAAACCAGCCAGCCCGGTCAGGGCCAGCTGTCTTCCCTCCCACGCAGGATCTCTCCAGGGCCAGGGCACATCAGGCAGCTGGGGGTGATCTGTCGTCCTGAGAAACTGAGGGGCTCTCCCATCGAGATCAGGGCCCTGGTGGTCACCTTGATGGGCTCTCCTATGGACAGACTGGCCAGACCACATCCAAGTCACAGTCAGCACCAGGACCTCTCCTGAAGCCCCTGGAGACACTGTTGCCCCCACCATCCCTTCTCAGGGAGGCTCCCACGTGCTGAGACTAGGTAAGAAGGACCCACATCTCCTCTTGTGTAACCTGTTTATTTCCAGAGGAGACAGTGCAGTGAGCAGGGCTAAGCCCCACAAGGTCACATGGTGGGGAAGGGGAACAGGAGCTCCAGGACCTTTCCTGACTCTATGGGCAGCTGTTTGTAGAGACAGACTCTCATAGCAGAGAGCATAGGGCTCAGCTAAGCTACTTCCCCCTGCCACACCTCAACTTCCTTGTCAGTCAAGGGAGGATGAAGTAGAATACCTGGCCCAGGGGTTGTGCAGGTTATATACAGTGATAAGTGTCAAAGAGCTTCGCATAGCGCCAGGGACCCCGTTCAAGGTTTGATTGATTTCAACCACTGTTCGCTAACTCTGTTCTCCAACACCCCTTCTCCTAGGAGGTTTTCCCTGGTTCACAGCACCCCTTTCTGAATGTCCTTTCCTCCTGGAGCCTCCTGCAGTTTGCTGATGGTTTTGCTTGGCTGGTTTCTCGGAGTTATTTTTTAGGGCCGCTGCTGTACGGGCCGCTGCTGTACTGGCCGCGTGGGGTGCCGGCCGCAGCACCCGTGCTTAGTGGGTGTCTCCCTCTCCTTCACTTGGGTTATAGGACAGAGAGCTCCTCACTGTTGAGAAGTTTGGCCGCAGGGCTTGAGGGGTGCACAGGGGACCCTCCCCCGGAAGCCTCCAGGACAGAGGCTCCTCTGTCCGTGGCCTCTCACTGTGGTCAGGCATCCGTCTCCCGCAGCCCACAGGACTGTCCAGGCTTCCCCAGGACGAGGAAATAAATCTCTCAGCTCGAGGAAGGCATTCTCCCTCCTTTGAAAGCCCTTCCTGTTGTTGAAGTTACCCATGCCAAGTTCCCCTGTAGGAGACTTTGGAACAGGAGCGTGAGGGAGGGGAGGAGGGGGTCCAAGTTGCAAGGTGCCAGTGAGTGTGGCCACGCAGCCTGATCTTCCTGAGCTGGCCTCCCTCCGTCTTCCTGCTTCTCCAAGCAGAGTACCCCTGACTCAGGATCCCAGGAGAGGGATCAGAGGCAGGGAGTTGGCTCGTTCAGAGCATCTAGCCTTACGGGTAGATTCCTGCTGCATCTCCCTGCCCGCCCATCTCATCCTTACCTGTCTAGGTGTCTAGGTGTGTCTATGTGATCATCCCCAGCCAGGAGGGCAGATCCATAAAAGGAAGACAGCAGGTGGGTGGGGAAGGAAGGAGGGGGCTGGTGTGGCAGGAACATAGGGGGAGGCCTGAGAGATAGGAGGTGGTTGTGAAGGGAGCTCAGCTTCTCTCCACTTTGGCAGGAGAGCCGTCCCCAGGGGTGGGGCAGATCCAGCTTGCCTTGCGGGGAAATGTCTCTAGGACCGTGAAGGTGTGCTGGTGGCAGGTGGTGGCGCGAGGCGGTGGTGGGGTGGAGAGGTTAAAGGAAAGGATCCTCTTTGGGCTCCAGTCCCTCTGAGGTCCACTCTGGAGAATTTCTAGTCAAGAGGCAGCCGAGGGAAGGAGTGACAAGTGTCAGCAGAGGGCTGTTCTGCAGAAAGTCTGATCAGGGGGACAGAAACTGCCACACTGTTCATAGGAGCCTGATCCTTAACCCTCTTTGTGGTTTTTATCATCAGGTAGCATCTGCCCTCTGTTGTGGTTCAGTCGCCCAGCCATGTCCGACCCTTTGTGACCACATGGACTACAGCACACCAGGCCTCCCTATTCCTCACCATCTCCCAAAGTTTGCCCAAGTCCATGTCTATTGCATCAGAGATGCCATCCAGCCATCTCATCCTCTGATGCCCTCTTCTCCTTCTGCCCTCAGTCTTTCCCATTCCAATGAGTCGGCTGTTCACATCAAATGACCAAAATACTGGAGCTTCAGCATCAGTCTTTCCAACAAGTATTCAGGGTTGATTTCCCTTAAGATTGACTGGTTAGTCCAACGGACTGTCAGGAGTCTTCTCCAGCCCATCTAGTAAACCCTTATTACATGCCAAGTACTTTATGTGCATTTTCCCCCACTTATTCCTCCTAACCGCCCTGATTGGTAAGAAGTAACAGCCCCCTTTTCCAGATGCGAAAACTGAGAGGTGAAACAGCCTGCCCAACGTTGGGTCACCAGCAGTGGCAGTGCTGCTGACCCCAAACTGCTGGTAACCCCAAGCCATATTGACTCCCAGAGAGAAAATTCACTGTTCTGTTTGCTGTGTTTTGTTTTTTACTTTTCCCCCCTAGATTTATTAAGATTTATATAGTTGACATATAACACTGTGTGTGGTTTAGGTTTCATGGCATCATGATTTCTCATGTATGCTATGAAATCATGACAAGTTTAGTTAACATTCATACTTCATATAAATGCAAAAAGTATATGTGTCTATGTATTTTTTCCTTGTGATGAGAACTCTTAGGACTTTAGCATCTTTTATCAAGATCACAAAGCAGTGTCAGCTATAGTCATCATTAGTGCATTGCAGCCCTAGGATTTGCCTTAAAACTGGAAGCTTGTGCCTTTGACCACCTTTCTTCAGTCTCACCACCATCAAACTCTACCCCACCCCCTTGGCATAACCACACATCTGATCTCTTTTTTCTGTGCATTTTATTGGATTTTGTTTCTGTTTTTGTTTTTTCATTTTCATTCAGTTTATTTAAACTAAAAACAAAACGTTTCTTTTCTTTTTCCCATTTCTCCTCTTCCTCATCCCCCACCACTGGCAACCACCAGTCTATTCTCTGTATCTATGGGCTTGGTGTTTGGTTTTGTCTTTGTTTTCAGATTCCACATAAAAGGGAGGTTATGTGGTATTTGTCCTTCTTTGATTTATTTCTCTAGTATAATGTCTTTCATGTCCATTGCATGTTATGTACCACATTTCCTTTATCTAACTTCCTTTGATGGACGCTTAGATTTTTTCTATGTCTTGACTATGACAAATAGTTTTCCGATGAACATGAGGGTGCATATATCTTTTTGAGTAAGTGTTTTCATTTTTTGAAATACATAGCCAGAAGTGAAATTGCTGGGTCATATGATAGTTCTATGTTTATATTTTGAGGAATCTCCATAAAATTTTTCACATAGAGCTGCACCAATTTTTATTTCCAGCAAAAGTTGCATAAGGATTTACTTTCTTCTACATCTTTGCCCACACTTGTTACTTCGTTTTGATAATAAACTTTCTAACAGATGTGAGGTGATAGATATTTCACTGTGGTTTGGATTTGCATTTCCCTGATAATTATGTGGAGCATCTTTGCATGCACCTGTTAGCCATCTGTGTTTCTTTTTCAGAAAAATGTCCATTTAGATAGTCTGCCCATTTTTAAAATGATGGTTTTGGGAGGTTTTTTTGAGCTATTGAGTTATATAAGTTTGAGTTCTGTTTATCAAATATATGATTTGCAAATATTTTCTCCCTTTCAGTAGATTGCCTTTTCATTTTGTTGGTGGTTTCCTTTACTGTGCAGAAGCTTTTTAGTTTTATATATATATATATATGTTTATATATACACACATATATATGTATATCAATATGTAAACAAGTTCCACTTGTTTATTTTTGCTCTGTTGCTTGTGCTTTTAGTGTCAGATCCATTTCCAAGACCTCTGTCAAGGAAGTGACCAGCTGTATTTTCTTCTAGGAGTTTTATGGTTTCAGGTCTTATATTCAGATCTTACATTTAACCCAGTTTGAGTTAATTTTTGTGTATGGTGAATCGTAGTGATCCAGTTTGATTTTTTTGCATATGGCTGTTCAGTTTTTTCAACACCATTTAATGAATACACTGTTCTTCCCCCATTGTATATTCTAGGCTCCTTTGTCATAAATTAATTGATCAGATATGAATGGGTTCATTTCTGAGCTCTCTAATTCTATCTACATATCTATTTTTATGCCTTTACCATACTGTTTTGATTACTGTTGCTTTGTGATTTAGTTTAAAATCAAAAAGCATAATGCCCCCAGTTTTGTTCTTTCTCAAGATTACTTTAGCTATTTGGATCTTTTATGGCTCTATACAAATTTTAGAACTGTTCATTTTCTGTGAAAAATGCCATTTTAATGTTGACAAGAATTGTGTTGAATTGTATATTGGTTTTGGTAGTATGGATATTTTAACAATATTCTTCTAATCCATGAGCACAAAATATCTTTTCATTTATTTGTGCCTTTTTCAATTTCTTTGGCTTATAGTTTTCAGTATACAAGTCTTTCTCTTCTTTGGTTAAATTTATTCCTAGGTATTCTATTCTTTTTGATGCAGTTATAAATGGGATTGATTTCCTAATTTCTCTTTCTGATAGTTCATTGTTAGTATATAGACACACAATAGGTTTTTTGTTTATTGATTTTGTATCCTGCAAGTTTGCTGAATTCATTTATTCTAAAAGTTTTGTGTTTTTTTAATGGAGTCATCAGGGTTTTTTATATAGAATATCATGTCATCTGCAAATAGTGACAGTTTTACTCTTGCTTTCCAATTTGAATGCCCTTTTTTTTTTTTTTTTTCTTGTCTTACTGCTCTGGCTAGGACTTCTACTATTGTATTGAGTTAAACTGGTGAGGTTGGCCATTCTTGTCTTGTTCCTGATCTTAGAAGAAAAGCATTTAGCTTTTCACCTTTGAATATAATGTTAACTATTGGCTTGTTGTATGTGGCCTTTATTATATTGAAATATGTTCTCTCTATGTGCACTTTGTTGAGAGTTTTTATCATAAATGGCTGTTGAATTTTGTCAAATGCTTTTTCTGCATTTATTGAGATGACTTATTTTTTACCTTTTGTTTTGTAATTGTGGTGTATCACATTGATATCTGGATGTTGAACCAATCTTGCAACCCTGGAATAATACCCACTTGATCATGGGGTGTGATACTTTTATTGTTTTGTTGAATTTGGTTTCTTGATATTTTGTGGAGGATTTTTGCTCTGTGTTCATCAGGGATATTGGCCTATAGTTGTCTTTTATTGTGGTATCTTTGCCTGGTTTTGGTGTCAGAGTGATTTTGGCCTTGTAAAGTGAGTTTGGAAGAGTTTCCTCTTCTATTTTTTGTGTTCTTTGTGATTTTTTTCTAGTTTGAAAACTTTTGGGTTATATTTTCTCCATCTTCCACACCCACTGACTTTCCCACTCTGCCCTCAGGTATCCTTGGTGCTGTCAGCCCTCCAGGCTGGGAATAAGGGAACCCAGGCATGTATCACAGCTGCCACTGCTGTATCCGGGATCATCGCCGACCTGGACACCACCATCATGTTTGCGACTGCAGGGACCCTGAATGCAGAGAACAATGAGACATTTGCAGACCACAGGTATGGGAGTGACAGCCATCCTGGGGGCTCCTGGACAGGAAGAAGTTCAGTGTGGCCTGATGGACTTTGGAGATGCTGCCCAACATCCAGAAATATAGTTATACATTTTTATTTCAAAAGGATGTTCAAGTGGCGGAAATGGACCACGTAATCAAAATAAGTGCCTTTCTCAACTGCAAACATAATTGTGTTCCAGCTCTGCCTTTCACAACCTACATCCCGCCTGCTCCAACAGAGGATAGCTTTTTTGCCTTTTTTTTTTTCCCTAAGCTAAAAGGCTATGCCCTTGATTTTTTCACTAACCTTATTGGGACTGGGAGTGACCCGGGTAGGCATTTAGCTCCCACCTAAATGAAGAGTGAAGCTCCAAGCCTGCTGTCTCTCCCAGGCTGGCTCTTCAGACTCTGCTTCAGAGGCAGGTGCTAGGGTCTCCATTTGCTGCTGGGTATGTACCCTCATGTCCTTGCCACATGTCCAGCACCTTTCTTCCTTGCTCCATAGCCCCAAGACTGGGCAGGGGAGGTGATTCCCAGTGCCCTGTCACCCCTTCCAAAACCCAGCCCCCTGGGCTGTGATGTCCAAGTCCCCTAGCCCGTGTGTTCTCACAGATCCCTGTCGCTACAAAGTATTTTCAGGGATAGTAGCAACCACAGGGAGGAAGCTACGGGACCGGGGAAGGGGACCAAGCTGGTAGCCCTGAATCTGTAATTGAAGTTTTACTATTAATTGACTGGGAACTCTGAGCTGACTTTCCTCTCTTCTATCCTAATTCTCTTACATGGGAGATGAGAGCCTCCTATTACAAGAGGAGAACTGGATCATCTCTCTTTAATAAAAGCCCTTAGGACGGTTTCTTTTCTTCCTAACTGGGCTTCCCAGGTGGTGCTAAAGAGTCCACCTGCCAGTGCAGGAGACACAAGAGATGTGGGTTCAATCCCTGGGTCAGGAAGATCCCCTGGAATAGGAAATGGCAATCCACTCCACTATTCTTGCCTGAAAAATCCCATGGACAGAGGAACCTGGCAGGCTACAGTCCCTGGGGTCGCAAAGAGTCAGACATGACTGAGTACACACACACACACACACACACACACACACACACACACACACGGTTTCTTTTCTTCCTGACTACCAGTGACCAAGGTCTACCCTTTGTCTTCCCCCTTCCCCTGCCCTCCCCTCCACTTCTCAGGGAGAACATTCTGAAGACAGCCAAGGCCTTGGTGGAAGACACGAAATTGCTGGTGTCGGGGGCTGCGTCCACTCCAGATAAGCTGGCCCAGGCAGCTCAATCGTCTGCAGCCACCATCACCCAGCTCGCTGAGGTGGTCAAACTGGGGGCCGCCAGCCTGGGCTCTGATGACCCCGAGACCCAGGTAGGATGTCGTCAGGCCTTGTGTTCCCACAGACTCTATACACAGGTCTTAGAAGAAGCTGAAGGCAAAATAGGAACTTGGGGAATACACAGTATGTGTGTAGGCGCATCTGTGGTTTAGGGACTGGTAGGAAGCAGTTATCCAGGCAGAACAGTGGCATGGACTGTGGTATGGCTGTGGCAATGGATACAAGCCCACAGATTGGAGAGGAATCTGTAAGGAGGTCTCTGCCAGGCTTGGAAAATGATTGGTCACATTGAGTTTTTGGAGATAACGGCAAGGGAGCTGGCCAGGACAACCATGTGTTTCAGGCTACTACATCAGTGAATGGACAGTGGCTCCCGGTACCCAGCCGAGGCTCCTTGGATGGAGGACTGACCTGGGTGTAGATGCAGATGCATTCAGATTGCAGTGTGTTTTGAATTAGAAGTTCCAGAGAGACACTCAGGTGGAAACAAGTGAATAGGCTTGAGTTGGTTCAGGTTTAAGAGCATGGATGCAGGGCTTGTTCGCCAATAAACTGTGACCACAACCAGAGAGAAGAATGAGGAGATGGAGTCAAGGCAAAGCTGAGGAATCCATCATTTGGACCATCTTCAGGGAAAAATAAAAGATGCCTACGGAGACTGGGAAGTGGCAACAGCTGGTGGGAAGAAAGCCAGGGGCCTGATGTTAACAGGAAGGAGTGCTTCAGCCCTCCAGAGATGCGGCCAAGGAGGCAAGAAAGAAGATGTGAGAGCCAGCCCCAGGGCCATGGATAGCAGTGGTCACCCAGTCAGGGCTGTTAGTGAGGAGTGGCCAGATGAGGGTGAAGGTAGGAGGCAGTATGTATAGATACCCCATTTGAGAAATTTGACTCTGAAGGGGAGGAGAGAGAGGAACTGGGGGGCAGTGATGGTCTCCAGGCTCTGTGATTCTCTGCTTTGGATTCAGCCACTTCACTGATGTTACCTGCCAGGTCCTCAGCCCCTAGCCTAGATCATCAACTCCTCAAGGACAGGAACCATGGTTTATTGATCTTTGAAACGAACACACAGCTTCCACACATCATGGAGGCCCAATAGAGTAGTTGAGCTCTTGCTAAACTAACAGCCAACCATGGCCATCATTGATGGATTCTTCCCATTCCTGAGTACATAATTTAAACATCCCTCTGTTGTTTCACCCTCCAGCACCATCAAATGGTAAACACTTCAGTTTCCACTGCTTAAACTATACCCAATTAACAAGCCTGTTAGGCCCATTTGGACATCCCTAGAGACAAAGCGTCCATCTGTCCTGTGCCAGAGTTGATGACAGCTACTGTGCTGATGAATACAAGACCACCAGCTCTGTTCCCACACAGCTGTGACCCCTCCCTTCCTGACATCTTCCAGTGGAGCGGATCCCCTTGAAGGAAACATTCCATGTGTTGGCTTTTTACTCCTTGTGCTGGCTTTCTCTTTGATAATATCAGAGCCCAGATTGACTGCCCTGTGGAATTCAAAGCATTCACAGAAGTCTCTGCTTGGGCATTGTTCTTACCCGCATGGAGGAAGGAAAAGCTAGAAAATGCATGAGTGCAGTTGGAACCCGAGCCTGGCTCAACCTGGAATGAATCAGCTGGGAGGATTTAGACCTTTGGATTTAAATCCAAAATGTATCAAATTGCTTAGTCTTAGTCTCCCAAATGATCCAGAAGTCCCAGAGCCCAGCTTCTTTTGAGACCACCAGTGCAAAAAGTCGCCCTGAAAGGTACACTCACTTGTTCCTGGTCACTGTCCAGTGACTGGGAGGGGACAGTGCGTGCCAGGTGTCAGCAGCATACCTGCCCGCTCCGCCTCTCCCCTGTGGCCCCCACCACAACCCCTCCTCAGGAGCCCCATCACAACCCAGCCTGCCCTGTGGTTTTAGAGGCTGGCAGAGGTTCGTGCTGTCTGGGTGAGAAGCTACGAGATGGAGAGGGTGGGAGGCTGGGAGTCATGGCGTGGCTGTGCTTGCAGTATCTGGGACGCTAGTGTTTCTAAGATGTTTTCACATTTGTTATCTGGTTCATCCTGCCGGCAGGGTGGGGGTGGGGGGGTGNGCAGATAAGGAGCCAGGGCCACAGGAGCCCAATACAGTGTGGAAGTGAAGACCATGTCCTTGGCATCACAAGAGTCTGAATCCCAACCCGACCCTTCCCAGTCTCTTCAAGTATGGATGCAGTCATTGTAGTTCCCACTCGAAAAGGGAGTGATGAGAGTTAAAAAAGATCGTGTGCGTTGTACTTGGCTCGGCACCTGGAATATTGCCCTCTGTGCAGGGAAGCCGTTGCTGTAAGAAGTAGGAGTTGTTATTGTAGCTGTTGGACCCAGAAGATGTAAATGTAATACCCAGCATCATGGAATTCCTAAGGACGCCTGGTACTTGAGATTCCAAGTGTAACACCCAGAAGAAGTGGTCTGTTGTCTGTTCAGTTAGAAGAGTGAAGCCGCTGTGTTCCATCTAGTGTTATGTGGGTTCAAACCTGTATATCCACTCATTCCCTGAGTATTTGCTGAGTGCCCACCACACGCCAGGCCTTGTTCTGAGTGCAAAATACAACAAAAGTCTAAGCCAGCCCTCCTGGAGCTTCCATCCCAGTTGAGGAAGACAGATGGTATACAATGAAATAATTCCACATTACTTTATTACTATTACATTACAGCTAAGTGCATTAAATAAAGCAGGGCAAGCTGAGGGCATTCCGGTGAGGATGGGCTTGTGGCACAAGTGGTCAGATAGGGTCTCTGAGGACGTGACGTTTGATCTGAGACCTGAAGGATGAAAAAAGCTGAGGTCCAGGCAGAGAAGGGAACAAAGCAGAGGCCCTGAGATAAGAGTAGGGGGGGGGATTTCCAATGGGGAAAAAGGTAGACCTACATGCCTATAACATGGCAAGTGAGTCAGGATCCCACCTGGGAGCAGGCGGGCTGCCATGGGAGCCCTGCAGGCCAGGCCGGGGGGGCATGCATTTTGTTCTCCGTGGTTTTGGTGACCAGTTCTGGCTACAGGTGAGTGGTGTTGCCTCTTGGGGTGTCTGCCTAGCTGCCTTCATCCTTTCGCAGGCAGCTTTTCAGCAGAGCTGTCAACCAGGACATGTTTCTGAACTTGCCAAATAGACTGTACCTGGGTTCTGCGTTCCAGCTCAGCATCTGCCTCCCTCAGGGAGCTTCCTCAAGTGTGGATTCTGGATTTCCACTCGGACTCCTACACCGGAGACTCCAAGGGCAGGCCCTGGAGACTCCCCTGTGCTGCGGGCGGGGCAGCTGTGGATGCTGAGCCCTGCCTCCCAGGTCCCCCCGCCCCGCCCTGCTCTTGTGCTGTGTGATCTTGGTGCAGCTGCTCACCTGGGGTGCATGCTCTCTTTCAGGTGGTGTTGATCAATGCCATCAAAGATGTGGCCAAGGCCCTCTCAGATCTCATCGGTGCTACCAAGGGCGCTGCCAGCAAGCCTGCCGACGACCCCTCCATGTACCAGCTCAAGGGGGCTGCCAAGGTAGGGTTGAGCCCCAGCCGGGTGCAGGTGTGCCAGGGGTGCCCCAGTGAGAGACAGAGATGACACTCCAGGGCTCTTGAGGGGGCCGTGTGCATCTGGGTTCCTTCCTCACTTAGAGGTGTGGACACTCTTGCCGTTAGATCTGCACTAAGAGGGATGGGACCTTAGCGCACTCTTTCCTCTTGGCCTGTCTTCCCATGCAGGTGATGGTGACCAATGTCACCTCCCTCCTCAAGACCGTGAAGGCAGTGGAGGACGAGGCCACCCGGGGCACACGGGCGCTAGAGGCCACCATCGAGTACATGAAGCAGGAGCTTACGGTAAGGAGCCACCAGTCACCTCCCTAGGGCCCTGTGTCCAACAGCCGACCCCAGCGCAACTTCTCTGAGATTTCACTTGGAGTGCCTGAGCTAGGGGGGCCCACTCACCTGCCTGCTGGTAGTCTTGTGCCATGTGATACTGACTTCGGAGTGTGACTAGGATCAGTTTGCAATTGTAATTAAATGAATTAATGTATGACTTGGGACTATTCAGGTTTAATTCCACTAAAATTGCAGCATAAAACGAAATCACTGCAGAAGAGCCTTGGCAAAGGGAAAACTCACTGTGGCCCTTTGCCTTGAGTTTATGCTTTTTTAAAAATTTTACTTGTTTTATTATTCATTTTTGGTTGCACTGGGTCTTCATTGATGCATGCAGGCTTTCTCTAGTTGCGGTAAACAGGCTGTTTGTTGTGGTGCACAGGCTTCTCACTGTGGTGGTTTTTCTTGTTGTAAAGCATGGACTCTAGGGTGCACAGATTTCAGCAGTTGCAGCTCACAGGCCCTAGACCATGTAGGCTTCAGTAGTTGTGGCACATGGGCTTAGTTGTTCCACGGCATGTAGAATCTTGCTGGACCAAGGATCAAACCTGTGTCCCTTCCCTTGGCAGGCAGATTCTTATTCACTGAGACACCAGGGAAGTCCTCGCCTTGAGGGGCCACACGTGGCCCCTCCTGATTCCCATGGCCATCAACAACAGCTCACCCTGCTGCACACAGATGGATGTGGGAGTCTGAGCTCACTGTTCAGAAAACCCAGACACTTTTACCGGGGGCACTTCCCTTTAACGTCAGGCTGCCTTCCACGTGAGGCGTGTGATCTCAGAGACGCCGATCCTGTGTTCACTCTTGCCCAGTTCCACTGTCTTAGAGCGAGGGTGTCCTGGGCTTACTGCGATCGTCTCCTGTTCCTTTGACTCCATGGTAGTTGTGTATTGCCTTGAGGATTCCCTCATCCTAATCCCCCGAAACAAATATGCTGAAAATGAGTAGCTTCAAACTGAGATTCCTCTTTTTTTATTTATTATTACAAATGCTATTTATTTTCATTATTTTATATGTACCTTTATTCTTAGTAGGCCAAATGACTGCACACAGACAGCTTTAGGACGTTTTTCAAAGACTCTCAGATAAATAAAACTTCAATGCAGAGGCAACATAGGCCATCATGTGAGGTTCCTTTTTAATAGCAGATCTGCTCACAGGTTCAGCTTCACTTTTGGAATGAGGAGTCTTCAGAGAGTCACCTGCAAAGGCCACAAGCTCCTGAGGGTCAGCAGTGTGTTAAGCTGCTTCAGTCACGTCAACTCTTGCAACCCTACAGATTATAGCCCTCAAGGCTCCTCTGTCCACGGAATTGTTCAGGCAAGAATACTGAAGTGGGTTGCCATTTCCTTCTCCAGGGGGTCTTCATGACCCTGGGATCGAACCCACATCTCTTGCGTCTCCTGCATGGGCAGGCGAGTTCTTTACCACTGGTGCCATCTGGGAAGCAGTAGAGATGAGCATTCTGTCGGGTTTTAGTGGTGGAGGCCTGGGTTCTCGAGTCCTGTGTTTAGTGACTCCAGCCTTGGCTGCTATTCTGCTTGGTTCTCACACAAAGAAGAAACTGAAAACCACAGGTGATATCCTTAAGACTGCTGCCTGGCACTCGCCTGCCTACATGTGCTGGGAGTTGTTTTTTGTTTTTGTTTTTGTTTTATTTTTTGGCCATACCACATGGCATGTGGGATCTTAGTTCCCTGACCAGGGATGGAACCCTCACCCCCTGCATTGGAAGCTCAATTTCTTAACCACTGGATCACTAGGGAAGTCCCTGGGCTGGGGTTTCTTATTAAAAGTCTAGAGAGACATTCTGACAAGTGTGAGTGGGCCAAACAGTAGCAATGGAAGAGATTTGTAATTCCTGGGATATTACACATGGTCAGCCTAGTATACCATGTAGAATTGACCTATAAAAAAAAAAAAAAGAATTGGCCCAGACAATGCATAATGAACATAGCTTCCCAAAGGAGCATGAGCCCCAAGGCCCATGTTAGCATGCAGGGCTCTATCCATCCTCATTACGCTGCAACATTCAGGGCTGGTCCTGGGCAGTCAAACTGCTGCTGTTCATTTTTAGGGGGTTTAGTGGTGTACAACACTGATGGGCACATGACAGGGATGTCAGCTGGGTCCTCCCTTCTGAATCGTGGCTCAAACATGGCTGCCTAGGGCTGAAGACTCTGGGAGATAGTGAAGGACAGGGAAGGCTGGTGTGCTACAGCCCATGGGGTTGCAAAGAGTCGGACACAACTTAGCAACTGAACAACAATAAGGACTGAAGACAGAGCAGCCCCACCGGGTTCAGGAGTCCTCGTATGCAGGGACCCCTCACTCATGGTAGAACCATGGCAGATGTGCTGGAAGCAGAAATGGTTGGCTTGACTAGCAGGTGGAATTTTAAAGTGAGATACTCACTTACCATGGCTAATGTATTTCAGCTTCTCTAAAGGTATATGGGTGTTGTTAAATAATTCAAAATGTCGCCGTGCCGGGCTTGACATGAACACCTCCACACAATTAAGTAGTTATATTTGTAAGACAGGCTAAGAATAGAAGAAATGGAATGCTTCATTTTTCCCCAGCCTCACACTGTCTTTAAGAGAGAGAGCTGAGTCCAGAGTGATTCATCCAGGTCTGTCTTGCTCTGGAACCAGCATCAGGGCTGTGGAGCTTCTGGGGATCACTGAGGTATCAGCCAGAAAGGGCCAGAAGATCTGGGAAGCTGCACAGTCCACCCCACCCCACCACCCAGGGGTGGAGTTAATGCACATAGAGTGTCAGTTTCCACAGGCAAGCACGTTAACACTGTAGATCATTCTCCCGCCCCATGTTCTCCCCCCAGGAATGCTGAAGACTGGTGTGTGGGGCTTATCCACGCTGGAATTTTGAAAGCAAGAATAATGTTACTGTATTCCAGTTAAATTTCTGATTTCCTGACATCTGACCAGTTTCCTCCCATGGCTGGCTCGGTTTTCAGACACTGTGCTACAGTCAGTAGGGGAGGCATATGTTACTTCTGTCCTTCCCTTTTTGACTTTTTTCAGCTCTTCCATTTCTAACTTCCAGGTATTCCAGTCAAAAGAGGTCCCTGAAAAGACATCATCACCTGAAGAATCCATCAGGATGACCAAAGGCATCACCATGGCAACGGCCAAAGCTGTGGCTGCTGGGAACTCTTGTCGACAGGAGGATGTGATAGCCACCGCCAATCTGAGCCGGAAGGCCGTGTCGGACATGTTGACGGCCTGCAAGGTAAAGGCCTCGGCATTGATTGGGGTGGGTAGGGTGGTGCTCTGCCGTGGCTGAGCTGTTGCAGTCAGTCTGGAGAGGGGGCAGGACTGGCCATGTGCAGGAGTGAGCGGCTCGGTACCCTGGCCTTTGTGATAGAGTGCACGCTGGTGACAGGTGTGCCCGTCAGCCTAGGGAGGTGGCTCTCTGGAGGTAGTTTTGTATTTAAGAGGGCGTGGACTTGGTCTGCTGCCTTACCCTCCCACTTCGTCTCTCAGTTCTTCCTAAGTGGGCGGGACACCTTCTTGCAGGGGCTGTAGTAGGGGCTGTTCTGGCAGAAGTGGAGCAGGACTGTGAGGTTTTGTCCCAGGCCCTCCAAAGGGAAACTGTACCCCTCATCAGCCTGCACCCTCACCTGAGTCCTCCATCAGCCGTTCTGCGCCAGGAAGGGTGCTGCCATAATTGGGTGAGGGAGTGAGTTGGGGGAACCAAAGAGCACCAGGCATCTTGGGGAAGCTCTTCCGACCCTTAGGGAGAAGGCAGGGGCGGCTGCCCTGAGCTGGTGCTCTTGGAGGGAGCTGGGGAGACCTGAGCTTTATTACCTTCACTTTATTTTACATCTGTTAAGCCAGGGAGCCATAAGAGGTCCCCCACCTCCCACTGAGCAGCCCCACCCCAGTTCTGCACCCTTCTGGAATCCTGACTTCTCCCCATGATGGATCAGTGACACCTCACCCCCACCCCGCCCCCACCACCCTGGTCAGCAGATGGAGATGAACCACAGAAGGGGAAGAGCAGCTGTTGCACCTTGGGGTCCTTGGGAACAGGCCCTTTCTGTGGTGATGTGAGTTGTGGGGAGAGCTGGTGCAGGGTCAGACGATGGCCTCTCAGGTTCCTCGCAGGGGTAGGATGGGCTGGTGTCCCTGGGCAGAGGTAGGGCGAGGCAGTCAGGCTGAAGGGCTGGGTGTGGGAAACAGCACCGCATTTCCTGGTCCTGGGGGGGGGG